CTCCTTTCAAATGAAAACAAAATGAAATGAAATGAAAATGAACAAAATCAAAGAAAAAATCTAATTTATAAATTTTGAAGTTTGATATTTCAAAAAAAATTATTATTTGTAAGACAATAAGATTTATTATTATTAAAAAATATTATTATAAACATCTTACTATTTTAAACATATATAGATGAAAATTTTTTTATTATCATATTACGTTTAGAATAAAATTTTATTGATATATATATTGATCTTGATATTCTTATTTAAATATAATATAAATATAAATTTATGTATATTAAATAATTGAACCAAATTATATAATGTAATAATCATAAAGTGATTTCAACAATTTCATCAAAAGATAATTTTTTATCACTAGTATATATCATTTGTAACGTTAAAACTGAGAACCATTCATCATTCAGTCCCATCAACACCAGAGACACGAGAGTATAATGAAGTTCATCCTCTGAAGTGCTCCGTCCACGGAGAATAGCATCGTGATAATATATTGAACGTTTTGTCTAGTAACACACACACATTGGATATATATACCCAACACCAGCGACAACTCTTAGCCATAAATAGCTAAACGTGATGTTACTACTTAGCCGGAGTTAACCTCAACAAAAGTCATATCTTTTTTATATATTATCATATATCAATGGTTGAAATGAATTTGAGATATTCCATATTTTTAAAAAAATTTATTTATATATAATATATTGTAAAATATATCTTGATGTATTATCTTTATTATTTATGTTCAATTAATATGTAAAATTTAAAAGTTTAAATATTTTATTTCTCCTATTCAATAAAAATACTTCAATTGAAATTTTGATTAGAAGAAACAATTTTTTTTTGGATGATTGTGATTATGATTATTATATTTTTTTAAGCCTAGATGAATTTTGTATTGTTTATTTGAATTTGAAACATTGTTACTTACACTAATTCAATAATTTAAGGATATTTTAAAAATTTATCTTATATGGAACCAAAGATCAATGTTTTATGTAGGGAGTGGCTAGTGTTTACCCACTTTTGGCTAATTATGATTCATACTACTACCTATCTTTAGTAGAGGTCTATGATTGGTAGATGCAGGGATGGGACGGTGAAATAGTTTTTGCAGTATGGATGTATGCTACTTCTAACATAGCGACTTCTTTGTGAGTTAGTGGCTTTTAAATTTTTTTAATCCGCTTTTGAGGTCCCTCTAGTTAGTCAACGTAGCATAGAGCCAAGGCTTCACAAGGCTTACAGCAAGCCTTGTGGATCCAATCTTCAATAATACTTGCTAAACTTGTCTTGCCAAAAGAAGATCCAATCTGAAGAATTACTCAATGCAGCTTGTCAGTCAGTAGTTTGTGCTTGATACATGATCATAATTGTGTACACATTCTCATGAAGGTTGAACTGTTATAGGTCCGAGCAAGGTATCAGCACTGACATGGAACCTTCGGGTCAAAATGGCTTTGAAATCGGCACGGTAAGAGGTCAACTTGTTGTAAAGCGTTGAAGTTTGATGTCTACATGTACTACGTCTTGTAAATTAAGAACAACAGTGTTTTTTAATGGCGTGTTTGTTATTAGTTTCCGGCAATCACGTGCTTGTAAACAAGGGACTAGAGTATCTGCACTAGAAGTGGCTATTTGAGAAGTAGCATCCACCCATATCGCAAAAACTATATCTCCGTTTCGTCCCATACCTACATCTGACTAATCACATACCTATACGGAGTAAAGTATAGTAAGATGAGAGATAATTAGTCAAAAGTGATAAATAACTAGCTGCTCCCTTTAAGTAACTTTGTAAAGAACATGAATATGATTTTTTAAATTCTACAAAGTTATACATATTTATATATTGTGACATTTATTGATGAACTATAATATTTTGAGATAATACTATAACATATATTTGTTATCTTTATTGAAGTAAAATGTTATTATTGCAACCTAGAGAGGAAAAAAAGTACAAAACACAGTAGATGTATGGGTGACTTTTTTACATACTAATAAACCTCCGGCAAACTATTCCTCATTAATACCCAATCCGAGATGTGTTTATAACATTCATCAACACATATCATATCAATTTGGCATCTCAGACCGTTGCTTCCAAGATAGAGTTGGAGACATATTAGTTCATTCAAAACATAGTCATCGTGAATTTCAAAAATCAAAATTCATGCTCCATGATCATTGGGCATGCTTGTAATACATATAAAAGATTAGTTTTTTAATATAAGTGATTGATCTATTTAAATATATTTTTGTTCCTTGACTTTGATTATATGTCTTATGACTTCAAGATAACAAATCATCTACATTTCATCTTTCTCATCAATTACTTTCAGCTCGATCTTCACTTTCGCCGCGGTGATATTTGAAGACGGTCGTTGTTTGTATCCAGAAAAATCAACATACATGATAAGATATTTCTAAAAATCAACACTATTGTTCAAAGTAAGTTCATAATATTCCAAAGTCAATTTATCCGTTGTTCTCACATTGAATTCTTCATCTTTTTCAGATGATATGCATAATGATTTGTATTGATTCATCGTCAATAAACAAATGACATTAACAATGATTTGGATTCTGGATTAGAAGTAGATCTAAAGATGAAAATCATTCTTATGCATTCCATTATCATGTGGCTATATTTTTTTATCTCAAATAGTGAAAGTTGTGAAAACAGTTGTTTCATTGTGCCATTGTAAGTAAAAATGGAAAGAACATTTATGGTAAGCGCATGCAAATTCTTTACATCGACCACCGATTGCCAAAAATGCATAATAGAATCTTTGTTGAACTACTTTTGAAGCTTTCGTTTTGGTTATCGTTGTTAAATTCCACTAGCAATAAAATTATAATCTCCATTCTTTGGATTTGCAATATACTTGAGTTTGTAGATTTTTTTTTTGGATGACAATGAAGTGTATCAAAGATTCAAAAGAAAGAGCTACAAATACATTGGATGATCAAATTCAAAAACCTTCTTATGAACAATCTTGATAATGTGGGTCTTGAAGCTACTGCAATGTTTTGAAACGTTTGCATTATTCACCGCAATAATTTTATCTAATGTGATGGAGCTTTGATCAAAACAAATTATGCTCTCAACGATGTACGTGATGAATTTGCAAATATCATTGTTGATTGCAAAGTGGTCATTTTACTTCACTAGCTTCAAAATGTACTTTGCGACTTGTTGGCTAGCTTTGACTTGTTCATGGAATATCTAAAGTCTTTGTGCTATGATGCCACATCAATACATAGGAGTATTGATAAATATCATTGTGTTTTTACATAAATTTGATAAAAAGTTGCAAATGTCCTTTTTTCCGTCCCAAGTCTTGAGTTTTATTCTCCAATAGTGAAAATCTGCAAAAAAGTTGATATGCTCGCATTTTTTCTTGAAAATTTGCTTCATAGTGTCATGAGCAGACACATATTTCGTATTTGATAAAGCTAATCAAAACAATAGTGCAAGGCCACAATGTTTGAATGAAAGATGGTCAAATCAAACATCATTATGATCATGATAATTGGGCTATCAAATATAAAAGCAATGATTGTTGTCAATGAAAAGAGAATATTGTTGGTTCAAATAATCAAATGTTGCTGCAACATATTGTAGTTGGCCGACTTGTACAAGTAGTATGTCGAGAAGCCATTGTTTTGCAATGATGGTGATGATCACATCATAGATCTAGTTGTTGGAAACATCTTTCTATTCGTCCATTGTTAACGATGAAAAATGACGTCTTATAAGTTGATCTTCAAGCTCCAATGAACAGTGTAAAAAAAAAGTTGTTGTCAAATGTAGTTGATCGACCTATAAAAGCAATATGTCGAGGAGCCATTGATTTGCACTAATGGTGGCGATCACATCATAGATCTAGTTGTTGGAAACATCTTTCTATCAGTCCATTGTTTACGATGAAAAATGAAGTCTTTAAGTTAGACCTTCAAGCTCCAGCAAACACTCAAAAAAAAGTTGTTGTCAAATGGTTCGGAATTATTGGAAAATACCGAAGCATGAATACGAAAGTCCCGAATCTCCTGGCTGAAGCTCCGGATCTTTGGACACTCCATAGCTTAGGTCATCCGGCCTAGAAGATTATGAAACCTCGGCATGACTCCAAAGCCTGATCGAAGAAGAAGTGAGGTCCAGCAATTCACGAGTGGAGAGCTCGTGCATTATGCATCAAATCAAATGCATTATCCCAATCAGTTCTTTCCGATAGAGCTTTTTTCAGAAGATCAGTACAAACTTTGAAAGAGTCTATAAACCTTTACACTATACTTCGCATCATATATGTGAAGTAACTTGGCCACGGTTTGACGTAGGTGGTGTAGGTACTAGTAAGTAACATGTGTTAGGTCCTACTAAGAAATATGTGTGACAATGGGGCACCATCTTCATCTTATTGTCTTCGGTACATTTTCCACATCATGGAGAAAAGATGTCAAGTGGCCACGTAAGCGTAACAGGGAAGAAAAGGATTTCGTTAAGGCCCCAGTCGAATGACATGCTGGCGCATGAGCACAAAATCGGATCGTGCGGACGCTCCTTATCTCGACACTTGGACAAAGTACCGACACTTGTCACCTGGATAGGCCTCGACTCACTCATTCACCGGGTAGCCCGGTTCCAGCTCAGACGGCAGAAGGTTCAGAGTTCGGACTCTGGAGTGGAGTCGAAGCCTGATGAACTTCGACGTGACCAGCGACTGCGGTGGGGAACCGGTGTGCGATCTGACGGACCTTCGGTCGAATTCATCGACCTCTCCCCTTCCCACAGATGGAAGCGACGTCTGGAGGATATCCAGGACCACCGCTGCTGGCTTCGCTGCACGGCGACCTCGAAGCGGTGGCAGGCGCAGCGACTCGCAGCACCTTCACGTGTCAATTCGAAGGATTCGATGCGCTGAATTCGTGGACTGCTGTCCAGATTTCGCCCCTCAAATATGCAGCGACGCAGGTCTTTCTCTCAGACAGCGATCCGACGAGACGTCGGCGTAGAATTAAGAGAAAATTCAGAGATCTCAAAGGCAAGGAAAAGAGAGGGAAGGAAGGCAGGAACGAGGGCCTCGTCGACTCAATTCGATCGAGGTCGATCGGGAGAGCGCAGACAGTGAAGTCCATCGGGAATTCGATTTTACTGCAGCTAGAATTAGAAGGCAGGAACGAGGACCTCGTCAATTCAATACGATCGAGGTCGATCGGGAGAGCGCAGACAGTGAAATTCATCGGGAATTCGACGTTCCTGCAGCTGGAATTAGCGCAGGTCGGAGCGAGAACTTTGTCGGCGAGGATTGTTAAGAAGTAGCGCAGTGAGTGCGTCGTGGTCCCGGAGCTGAATCTTCGTGGAGGCGATGGCGGGAGTGCGAAGCCACGATCAGAAGGGCAGACTGGTGCCATACACTCCGTCGAACGGGGGGGCATCTGTTAACGGGCGCACCTTGAACACCGGCAACGACGGCGCCGGCAACAATCCTTACACGGCCTACGACGGGAAGAAGGCCACCGGCCTGGCGACACACGATGGCGCCGGGACAGGGACGGGCAATTTCCACGGGCCCTCAGCGCCGGCCGGCGATTACCGACCCGGGTCAGGCCATTTTGGGGGAGCCACGAGAGCAGCCGACGTGGGCACTGCTCGGCACCAGGAGCCCGCGCCCGCGCCCGCGCCCGCGCGAGGCTACCCGGCGATCGACCACCACGGAGGAGGAGGAGGAGGAGGAGCGTACGTCGCCGGACCCGTGCCCGTGCCCGTGAGCAGCTGGCATGGATCTGCGCCGGCCGGAGCGCAGCAGAACGGCGGGTTCACGACCAACGGACCGGCGGGGGCGCTGGAGAATGGCGCCGGGGGGAAGGCTTTCGGCGGCGGGGGAGCAGGAGGATACGGGCCGGCTGTCCCCTATGGCTATGGCGGCCAGAACGAGAGCGTGAGTGGATCGGAGAAGCATCACCACCACTACTACCACTACAACAACAACAACCATCACCACCCCGTCCCCTACAACAACAACTCCGTTCTGCCTGAGGAGCAGAAGCGCAGAAGGAGAGGCGCCGGTGCTCTGGCCGCTGCCTTGATCGCCTGCTGGGCCTGCACCTGTTGCTGCCACGTTCCTTGTGGCTGCTAGACTCCTCTCCTTCGTCATACTCTGCTCTGAGATGTCTCCCCCTCTTCGGACATCCATCGGTCTCAGAATGTTTTCTATCATATCTTCCACATCGCCCTCGAGGCGAACGATCGTGAGCTGACAGCTGAATCATCTGCAGAGTCGAGAAAATTCTCCCTGCCTCCGAGAAGGAGAGCAAGACGATCGATTCGTCGAGCTATAAGGCCGCACAAAATGAGAGCAGAGTCAGTTTTCCATTTGGAGAAGATACAGTCGCCGGGTTGAGGAGAGTCATTCCATGTTTCATTTTATTCGTACGAGTGTACACGGTAGGCAGATTAAAAGTTTGTGTATAGTGCAGACATGCGAGGATTAGTAATTTTGATACTTTGTGAGACTGAGGTTAGTGTATAATAGACAATTTTAGGGTAGTGCACGTCCAGCCCTCTTGGGAAGGAAGAATAGCTGTTACAATCCTGAGAGACATGAAGTAATGTCAGGTGTCCATGCAGGTGTGATATATATTGATGAATTAGTCGTAGGATAAAATGTAGCGATTTGTGATCATGAAGATTGAGGTTAAAAAATGAGGAAATAAATTCATTTTATAGGGAACTCAGTCCATCGAAACACACATTTTCGTCCTTACGCTTAAGCTCGTAAACATGTATACTATCACGGAATGAAATGTTGATAGATTGTTCATAGTCTGCGTTACATGGTATAACAGATATCGTATCTTATACATCGCGTTTGAAAAGTAAATTTTGTATTGAACGATAGTTTAGGGGAAGAAATTGCAATATAACGATAGTTGTTACGAGCATGACACGTGGAATAGAGTATGAAAATGTGGGCGGAAGATTTATCAAGAAAAGAAAGTTAAATTGATACGAAATGTCACAATTTTTGTTCATCCCCATATATATAAACAGTAAGTTACATGACAACCACATTACACTTCCTGTTAATTGTAGAAAACATCAAGTCACATGTAAAACTCACCACAATAATATTATGTAAAAAAAATAGTGAATGCATAATACTAACTCACTAATATTAATCAAAGATATAAAAGTGAGAACAGAACAACAAACGTGACCATTTTGAAAGCCGTAAAGCTAATCATTGAAAAGCTAAAATCGAAGATGAGAAATCATCTCAGAAGTTGATACACGTTTGTATTCATGTTTATATGAAAGGGAGCCAATTGGACATACAAATGATCGAAACACACCCTCAGGCGAACAAAGAGTAAATTACTTGATGGACCCTGGGGAACAATCAAAACACTTGGGACCCATGTCATCAGTAATGTTCCAATACAAATATGGGGTTAGTTCGGGTAGGAAGATGTAGTCAGTGCAAGGCCATATCGGGAGTACTTTATACTCGTGGTGACCGTCGTTTTCTCAAACTGCGATCGAGTCGCCAAAATACTATGGCAGGACAGTGACAGACACTCCCCACACTACAGAGCAAATTAGCGGGTTATAAGAACTTTTATTGGAATATGGCTGACGGTAGGTTGCATGGCCGTCGAATGGGATCCTACTAGGTAAAATGAAACCTGTTGGGTTGAGTTTCCAGGGTCCATCAAGTAATTTCCTGGGCGAACAAGTGACAAAAAATACTAGACCTGAAGAAAATTCACTACCGAAAAGATTAATCTATCTCTGAGTCATCGGAGCACCGAAGGAACTATCAGTACCTGCAGAGATTCAGGGTTTAGGTCTCTGAAGAAAGTCGGGAGAATTGAAATTTGAATCATGGTTTTGCATCTCGCAAAAACAAGACGAGCACATTCTACATAGTATGGTTTCAAGCTCTTTGGAGAGAATAACCTGTTTTTCAACCGGGTTCTGATCGATCTGAGTGTTGAATCTTCAGAGTTTTGCGCGAGTTCCTCGAGTTAAGGTTCAACTACAGAGTAAAAAATCTGTCGCTCTTATGCTGCAAATCGACATATACAGAACTTGTTTGAAACTAATGCTATGAACGACTTGTGAAGCTCTCTTGATGCAATGGCTGTGCAAAGCCCCAAACTCATTACACTTCTCAGATGCCGACGTTCCTGATCACCAACTATTTTACCCTGTTTGCCTCCTGAAGATGAACCCGTAGGCCTTTCACTGCAAATATAATGCTTAGATGGAACTCTTTGAGATACTTGACAGACACGACTATGGTGAAATTAGTATCATGCTATAATTCTGAGAATTCTGACTCCTGTATAGCATGCTTGAGCTGTCAAATACCGTCTACACACGAACAATCTACCGACTTTTCACACGGAACACGGATGTGCATCTTCAGACCTGTTTCAAAGTAAAAAAAAAAGACCTCGTCAAACTCTGCTTTCGAATAGTTCTTTCTCAAAACCTGTGAATCTTAAAATGAGATATAGTGAGCCATTTCCACTCTATCCACAAGGACTGACCTGTATTTGTGCAAGACTCGGGGTACAATATATGTGTGCAGTTTCCTAACAGAGTCTTCAAGTGCCAACCTGATCTACAAAAGTTGCTGGCATTTACAATAACAATTATGCCGTTGATGGGATAGCCAAATATCGATTGGAAGACCCCATAAACCCCGATAAGAAAAGCAACCCGAAACAAGAATATCGGCTTGAACTTTCTCTAGTGAGATGATGAGCTCAAGCTTCTTTTCCGGTCCATCGTGGATTATCTGCGAACCTGTGCTGTTTGACAGGTACATCATGTAGGCTTACAGCTCATAGCAGATTTATCAAACTCAACCAACAGATATAAACTTGATAACCCCTTCGTTCCTAGATTGTGTCGCATGAAACCTCTCGAGTTGTAAGGCCCAGAAGTCCCAGTTTGTACAGACTCCACTTAAAACGTTGGATTTGATCTCTTAAACATTCTGAAACTTCTAGAACATGCAGTCCACAGATTTGGAGGTCGTATTATAATTTCTTTTGAAATTATTTAGGATTTTTACCCTCGTAAGGGCTCACTGATCAGCTCCTAGAAAGAGAACTCATTCAGTCTTGAAATATTTGTGACCACTGGCTTTCTAATAAAACTGTATATAGCAAGGGACTTAATACAATTTTATCAAGTCCCTTTCATAGTCCCCTCAGATAGTCAAAGTCCAAGATGGATGAAGGATGTGTGCCACATGATTCACAACTTTGCACAGCATTCATATCTGGATGAGGGAGGTCGAATTCTGAACGTTATGTGTCATGCACGAGGTTCACCCTCACGACTCTCGCTCCCTTGCCAGTAATTGAACTGCGCTCACAATGCTCTTGCCATGTTTACTCGAGGTGTCTGTTCCTAGCAAACCATACATTTTGTCTCGCTCTTGTTTGAAACCTTTGTCCGAAGTGCCTCTAGACGATAGCTCGATCAGCATTTCATCTCTCACAGTTTCTTCTCAAATTAGATCTGTTGTCCAGTAAAGGAAGGAACAGACACCTCGAGTAAACATGGCTTGAGCATTGTGAGCTCCCAGCTTGTATTTGCTGACACAAAGGCAAGGCCGACAGAGCTTGCTGGAGGAAACCAGGCGAACGAGTGGGCCAGAATTATTACTCCCATGACATTTTGTTTTCACGGAATCGATCTCATTTTATGGCTAGCTTCAGAGCTACTCATACGATGATCCCTGGAGAGTTCATGCTTAGAACACAATACCGGGAGAGGTGGTCTGCATCATCGAAGCTTTTGTGCCTTCTGCAAGAGCGTGGTTTCTGCATTTTTCTTCATATACTTTCCAAGGAAACCTGGAGAGCGTTGGTACTAGTGATCGGGGTGGAAACTCAGGATTCTAGTTTATTGATGGAATCATGATCATGCTGAGTATGCTGAATATGTGGAAACAGTCAAACTTCTGTAGAAGAAACCAATGTACCTGATGCAACTTGGTCGAATCCATCTTTTGAGCTTCAGGAAAAGGAGTGAGGTTTTTAATACCATGCTTTACTGGCCATGGGCCATGTCTACTTCCCCCAAGTAGCGCCGGTAAGATTCCTCCTACAGGCCTCCTTCTGAGAATATGGGCGAGTGAGTGAGTGCCGCTGACAGTGGTCGCCTAGATCGATCAGTAGCTAGGGTAGGCCTTGGGTCGTAGAATCGAACTTCTACAGAGCTTTTCTGTAAAGTCACACACAGAAAACACCCCACAAACTGTAAAATCTAGGTAATAGCAAAAACAACACAACACAAACAACTATAACTTGGAATGGTGAAAAAAACCCACAAAACCGCTAGCCTCTTATGTTTATTGAGGAGAAATAGAGACGCAGGACGAGTTCACCATTGACGACACAAGAACACAGCGTAACCATTGAAGACACAAAACACAGCGTCGGCTATCGGCACTCAGTTGAACTCGACACAGTTGAAAGCGCTATTACAATGATACTAGAAGAAGTAAAGACTCCTAAGTATATAGCCTAAAACATAACCTAGTCACGGCCGCCTCGCAGGTGCATGAAACTTCTCAGCGTTCCTTCCCGAGCTCGACGAAGAACCAAGGACAGCGTCAATGCGCTACTCCCTCCGATCGCTTTCAAAATGTTAGAAAGTTACTCCGCGCTTCAGCGACTCTCAATGCTGTTTGAAAGTGTCGGGAGTTCCTGCGACGACAGTAGCAAAGAACCTTTCAAACTGCTGCTCAAATTTATCTTCAAAACCGACAATCTTCCATGGGAATACAAACTAGTAACACTTTGGTCTTAGTTTGCAAGTGATATTATTTAGCGTCACAATTTGTCTTCAAGTGAAAGATGGTTAATTGTGAAGAGAAATATGACCAGCAATTTAAAAGTGTTCTTTGTACAATCTATAAGCTATAATCAAGAGCGCTGATTATCGTTAAAACCGTATCGATTCAGTGCGGCAACATAAATATGCTAGAACAACACATCAATAGCCGAGCCAATGCAAATTGATGCTCTCAAGATTTTGAAACTTTCTTGAGAAGAGAAAGATTGGTGTCTGAAAGAAGATTTGTGCTTATATTGTGATGAAATATGACCAGCAGTTTAAAAGTGTTCTTTGATACGTGATGGATATACAGTCAGTTAAAATTTTTCTTCACAATCAACATTTGCTCATCCGTCACTTGGATTGGGACTCATGTAGTTCGTCTATATATGTTGTTCAAAAATTACTTCCCCCTCGGACATCTCGATCTGGGCTCAGGTTGTTGAGGATTCCCGTACGAGAATGCCCACTGGATTAGTCCGGTCTACCTGCCAGTAGTGCAGCTGCAGACCGGCGAAGACGGCCAATTTCCTTAAGATGCAGGGTCGATGGAATTTGTTCCAGCTCATCGCCGTATGATATAGATAGAGCGTATGCACTCTGCCTCGTCCGAAGTTTGGTGGGACTAATCCTTAGCTGGCTGTTTGAGATATCAATCTCCAAGTGAGCTGAGGCTCAGAGTGGACTCTGGCGAGATTTTATCAAAGCCCGTTAACAATTTCCTGAGATGCATCTATTAAAGAAGCCGTCGAGTCTAAACCACCACGTTACCACACCTTAGAGATGACGATTCGTCTTCGTCGTCAGCTCATCGAGAGTATGAAGTTCGGAGCAGCCATCGGGTTTATGGTTTGTGACAGAGTTTGATCATGGTGACATGAATCACTTCAATGAGCACTGATGTTCAACAAACTCTGGAGCTTTCAATAAATTGTTGGTATTCTTTCTACACAAGCTGTTAATCCCTGACTTGGTGTATACAGTAACATGGTGATGGTGGGCGGTTGGGTTCCAAACTTCTGACTCGCTGGAAACTCGTACATAACCCGAGAAACCCAACTCGGTATTTCTTGCAGCTCGAGCTGTAAGAAACCGGGTCCCTCTGTCAGAACCCAATCTAAAAGCTGAAGAAGCATAGAAACAAGGTGCAAAACCTCAGCAAGCAGGCCAGCAGGAGCTGACATCTATTGATATTCTATGACAGCAGGCCTCCCCTCCCACCCATTCCAGCAGCAGGTGGGATATCCGAGTTCGGAGATCCTGAACATGGATCCAAAAGACGACACGCAGAGGCGTCCGGAATTTTTTATGACTTTCTCCCTTTTGTGCACTGAATGAATCTATGGGATCTGAGAAAAGGCAGCGTCACGTTTGCTGAGCCTCAACATCACGTCAGTGTCAGCTACGAACGACGTGAGTCTTCACGTCGTTCGGTTTCTCTCCTGACAACTTGTTGCTCGACGTGGTCGAGCTCCGATCTTCGAACTCGGGAAAGGCCGGTATGTAAGGGGCCACTCCAACAATTATGATGGTGCAATGATTTTCAGCTTTGCTGGGCTTCAGAGGCCAACATTTTACTTCAAATCTGCACCCAGACCAGACCATAACCATCAGCAGCGACCTATGCCCACCCATAGCATTACCTGTGCCCACCCATGCTACTCAAACTAAGCAAAATCTTGGTTGGATCTTGACAAACACCGCCGTTAGCATTACTTGTGCCCACCCATGCCCACCCATGGAAAAATACTGTCACTTAAAACCCACCCATAACCCATGGGCATGGGCACCCAAGGTTGGGCTCTGCTGGGTTTTAGTTCAGATGAACTAAAGCACAGAGCCTTCGTCCGAAGGTTTCAGAACTCTGATTAGAAAGAACTTGATCGCATCATCGAGCATCGACTCGAGAAGATCGAAATGAATTTTGATCATCTCAAATCCGGGCCCGAAGTGATAATGTGAGTGGAAAACAACGGCTTGCGTGAATCAACAGAGGAGTTTCTGATGATTCTCGGGTCTGGGTTGACACTGGAAAACCTCGTGTTAAATGTAGATTGGAATATATGTGTTCACCACCTTCAAGTATGCTCCCAATGCGTCCCCTGAAACGGGTTTGACGGCAAAGGTGTCAACCTGAACTATACTACAGGAGATCCTCCAGCATCTCCAACCTCGAATTCTTCGCAGATTTTTTCTGAGTTGAAGAAAGTACAAGGAACCGGTGTTGGGATCAAACAAAAAGGACCCTTGAGATCGCCCAACATCAGAAGTTGGTATCAAAGTAGATTAGTTTCTTTGTGGTAACGATGCATGGAATATATTGTCAGACGGTCCTCTAGGTATCTTAGTTCTGTTTATTTGGATGATATGATGGGTCAATTATTTGCTTTATTTGTTTTAACGGTGGCTGCTGCGGAATCCGCTATTGGGTTGGCCATTCTGGTTATTACTTTTCGAATTCGCGGTACTATTGCAGTGGAATTTAGGGCGACCGTTCGCGTCTAAAATCAGGAAATAGCCCGATCAACTTATCCGATCCAACCAGCTCTGATAGACCCTGCCTCCAGAATCTGTCGTCTTTCGAGTTCTCCTAAGTTCGAGAGATTGCTCAACCTTGTCAGAAAGCTCACCTTCTCACATATCAGCAGTTTGGAAAGATTTTTTGGCAGCAACCTTGGTTATAACATAAAAGAAAGCTCCAGTAACTCGGAGCAATTGCTCATCGACTGTCAAAGGTTGCCACCTTCTCACAATCCCACACACTGCATTTTTCCCAGATCATATGGGAAGATTAGGTCACATATCCGTTGCTTCTGTTCCCTTGTAAGCATATTAAGAAACTACAATAGCACCTAAGACTGTACAGGAATACTATACTGTAGTTATATGTCCTGAAGACTATTGTTGGTCAAAGTAGATGGACCCTCGTCCTGGATATTCATGTTTGTTTTATCAACTCACGCCTTCAGACATGGCCACCAACTTGCAAGCATATAAATTTATGCTCATTATGTTCAGCAGCCCGAGAAGCCGACTTTCATTTACTAATTCCCTAGTTTACTGAAGTGAGGCGCAATTGTTTTGCCCGTAATACATTCTATGCAAATTGTATCTGCAATCCTAAGCGCACATTAGCCATCCATGAAACCATACTGATTTTCTTACCTGGAAAAATGACCGTGGTAACAACGACGGTCACTAACTGTTTAGTTAAACTGCCTTTCTGTCAGGTGCTTGAATCAAGGAGCCAAATGAGTATAGATATATAGTAAAAATTATAATGCTACTGGTGCTGAAGCTGACTCTTCCTATGTCATTTGACCACAAGGTGTAAGGACAGAATCTCAAACCCTTTCACAGTGTCACAGTTCATGCAATTTCATGTAGCATAATTTACTGGAGTGACCATCAGCACTGAACGATAAACTTCTCTTCGCTTCCGAGTCATAAGAGCGCTGTGTAGCTTCCGCTCCAGATGAACTTCCAGCAAGTGGCCTGCACTGTTAAGGTTGCCCTCCATCTAACAGGAGCTTCACATAAAGTTCGGCTGTGGACCGACCCCAGTAATGCCTTATGCCAACAAAAAGGCCGAAACCCTTTACTCCAGGAATGTACATGCTGAAGCAGAATCGAAAGGACATAGTAGAATAACAAAAAGGACGGGAACTCAAACGAAACGGGAAACGTTGGGCTAGGTAACAAAAGCGGAATATGTTATACATCTAAGAAATCTGAAGTATCTGAGTACCGGTCTACAAACAAATTTTGAAAGAGGAAAGAAAGAAGTAGCCCATCACTGTGGTTTTTGGTGCCCAGAGCTCTGCGTAACTTTCGGCTCCATTTGAAACAACCAAAATGATCCTTGTCTGTTGCTTTGAAGATTATTAGTGGTCTCGGTAACTTTTTCACTGCTACAGGCGAGAATTTAACAGTAGGAGATACTGTTCCGAATCTCGGTAGCAAGGTTGTTCGTAACTTTGAGTTTCAGATGAACCTAGAAGCGAGTAGTTGGACTTGCAAATAGCATGGTGTGTGCTATTGTCCTCATCCCAGGAGCTGGGGACCCAGGAGGGTCCGATTTCATTTTACTCGAGTGTTGAGCTGCTCCAAATAGAGGAAACAAGATTCACAGCAGGTAGATCAAATCAAGCAACAAGGCGACTGTTAAATCATATCAACATCAAACATCAAAAGCATGACTGTCATCTGTTCATGGATCGGTTCCCATATTCATGGATCCAGTAGAAAAGTGTGGTGACTAGAGAACAGTGTACAAGCTGCCGGACCTCCGTAGGCCTTGTTCCGATGATCTATCATCTGAAACTGTACAGAAACTGTACCATGAAACTGCTTTGGATGCCTCCTGAACTCGCTTGCAACGGGTTGATCGCTGATCAGGAGGTTACTCCGATTGGTGAACGATCCGTCGAGCTTTCTATCCAGATATGACAATCCTTCCACTGGTGACTAGATGGTATTGCACCAATAACTCACATATGCATCGAATGTGTACGGAAACATGTACATCTTTCTCTTCAAGTGCAAGGAAGAAGCAAATTCATTATCAGCTATACAATAGTATAGCTGCAAGCAGATGTAGTAAAGCCGCAACCTAGCTGTCAAGTGGAATCCACACAATAGATGTACGGTGCGAATACTGCTATTGTGCAAAATAACGATACCCAGATGAAGGAAGGCTCATGTACGTGACCAAGAAATGTCACTGGTGAATTTCAAAAGCAGGCAAATTTGACGAACAACTACAGAGAATTGGTTGAAATGAGCATAAATTATTTTCTGAATGAACATACTCTCATATCGTATACCTTCAAATCTTTAGTACTGTATACTAATTAGTCAAAAGAGTCAAATTTAGTGGTTGGAACTAGAAGAAGTTTCATGGCTTCATTTCCATCCTCAGTGGCACACTCTTACACCTTCAAGTCTTTAGTATACTAGTCAAACGAGTCAAATTTAATGATTGGAACTAGAAGTAGATTCATATATTCATTTTCCACCCCTAGTGGCACACTCTTACACCACATAGATGCTTAAGGCTCATTGTGTATGGATGCAGAACGTAGAGGTGGCTCATATGTCCTCAAATCCCAGGGCCACTTGATACTGCTGTATAGAAGATCGCAAGCTACATTCAGATCTTGCGCAATATACCGCAAGATCTGAATGTAGCTTTTATAGAAGGTGTGAAAGATGGGAGGAACTTCTGAAAGTCTCATTTTTAGGAAAACCTAGATTCTTGCCACATTTCTTGCTCTCGTTGTGCCCACTAAGCCCTTTCCCTCGCTTCTATTATTAAATTACTTCATCAGGCTTTCAGACTCTGTAGCATGAAGAGATTATATTTTTCTAAAATTGGTGGCTTACTGATGGAGTTTTCGCATGATGCTTGCCGAATTGATGTCTTTCAGAGCAAGGAAGGTTGGACTCAAGGCACATCGATCTTGTGTCCAAAAGGAGACTCCAAAAGGAAAAGCCGATTATGATGGTTGATTGCATCAGGAGTCCAGACTTCGAGGTTAACGTATGTTCAAATTCTTCCTTGAGAAATTTCTTAAACCTTGCCCCAAGAACAATCTGCTTATGCCAATCAGAGTAGGGACAAAGTGTGTTCTGCGGGTTGCAGTCACGTGGAAATTCACTGGCTTTGAGGTGTGGTCCTGTCAGAGTAGCTGGTCACAAATGAGTAACAGGTTAAGATTCTAGAGGAGAATGAAGAGTTGATGATAAGAAGTAAAATGTCAAAATGAAGGAGGAATGCAACAGGACTTCACTTGCCTCAGAACTCAGATGAAACTGTTGAACATCAGACCAGGCTGGACTATATGGGCTGTTATCTAAATGCTCGAGAAGTTTTGTCCGATTGTGAACGTCATTTGCCTTCTCAGTCTAGATAAGCACAACCATCATGAAAATATAACCTCATAGCTACCATGACCAAATTGAAAGTCCTGTGGAGTCTATGGACATGTATATTTTGGTGCGACTTATCCCACACCTCAGACGAAGATCCGATAAGAAGAAGATATGACTTGTTTCGGAACTTTACTTTAGAATGCTCGGATGATGAGATCTGATCCGTTTGGATTCCTCGCTATTATGGCTGGAGTGTGCAAAAGAGTCGCTCACACGCTTGAATATACTAAGACCTTGAAAAATCACTGTGGACCCTTTTATTAAGCTTCTTGGATGTCTCCCAAGGTTTGGGTTGGTGGAGGTCTGTTAGAAGCACCTCTCTTCGAGCCCTTAGCCAAAACACTTTTCAGGGTTGGATGAATGGTTGACTTGGACTTTTTGTGAAAATAATGATCTCGTGCCGCATTGAAAATCCAAATTTCCAATTTGACATATAATGGTACTTAAGGACTGCAAGAATACACTATCCTACAGGCAATGGGTTTCAGTTTCAAGCTTCAACCACCTCTCATCTCTGCAAAACATTTCCCAAAGACTACCTACATACAAAAGCACATGGAAGCTAGATAGTCAAGAATCAAGTCAGCTGAGGACGGTAGACAAGTCCATGTGAAGAGAGGAACTAAGGGCCAAGTTAGGCAGCAGATACTTCCTGCATATCAGACTTAGTGTGTTTGTGGCGAATTGGTAGTTGAAAATTCATCGGTTTGCCTCTTAGAGAGCAAGAAAGGGTCAACAGCACATGTTCATCATCTTCTGAGAAGTTAACAAGGGTCAAGACACCATACATCCAAATATATCCAGCGATAAATGTCCAACCTTTTTCACGAATCCATGAAAAATGACTGAATCTTTGTCACATGGCAAAAACGACCGACGAAAGTCTTGATTCTTGACACTATCCGGTGACACCACCACCACCACCACCACCACCACCACCCTCAAAGGATGAATGAAAACATGAAGAAACGTTTCATCCCTTTTGTAAACGGTGGGAAGATCTTGTTTCAAAAAGGCTGCAACCCCAATTTGCCTCCTGAAATTCTCCTATCCACTACCCGAAAGCCCTCTGCAAGGCAAGACAAATGTAGAAAGGTAGGACCGAGGTGATGAGTATACACCGGGATGTAGGACGAGCCTCGAACCTCGACCGTGACTGTCAGGAGGCGCGCTCGGGTTTTGCTCGAGTTCAAGGTAAACAAACTCACCATGAACAGCAGCGTATCTAGAGAATCTAGAGTAGCTGACAAAATCATTTATGGCGTCTGAGAGCTTCTGCAGCAAACGCTGCTGCGCCTCTCACGCTAAAGTCCATGGAAGATCGTTCTGACAGAACCGCTGTGTCGCAACAGTATTGCACCATAAAGGCAACGTGTTCGACGCATCCCTCCTCATCTCCGTGTCATCTCCGTGTCAGACGAAGGGGAAGCCGAGGGTTATTAACCACCAATCTTCGGGTCTGTCCTCACATTACAATCCTTACCGATGCTCCAACAAAATAGAAGAATCAAACAATAAGACTTCAAATTGCTCATACCTTCGCTCCAATTGACCTCTACTCCCTCAGAAATGAGACCCAAGAAACACGGAAACCTCAACAAGAAGCGAGCAGAGATGTAAGTTCGAGGGAGACCGAGGCGGCAATGTGCACAAGAGTCTGCAATTGACCGCAAATCGAAGGCAAGAGTCCGAAATTGACTTCTAATGCAAGCGACAAGAGCATCGGGGCTCGATCACGAAGTAGAGACTTGCCTCTTTGCCCTTCGAGACTTACCAGGTAACTTCTCAAGTTAGCTACAGGGGGTGCGTTACGTAGGTCGTGAGAGCGCCAGACGTTTGTTCAAATTGCACACCAAGCAGCAATGCAAAAACCGGGCATTTCAAACCGCTCCCACCGCCTGCCAATAAACTTAGCGGCTGATTCTGGACTTAAAATTAAGTTTGGGCTCAGATCGAAGGTCTGGGATTCCCGCAGTGTTCCACTAAAGTCGTAGAAATGCGTGGATGTACTTGTGCTTCAGCGTACTCAGATTATTGTACTTGGGTTTATATCATATGAAAATCCACATCGATATTAATATTATGACAGTCTATATATTATTCACTTTTTGCCGTCCTTCTTATAATTCCAACTGATCTAGTGGTCCCTGCGCGTCCCGGGGCTTCACCCGCTATTTCCACGTATGAAAATTTAGTGGCATGAAATTGTAGTCCTTCCGTGCGATAGACGGAGTAAAGTAGTGGTGGCGTCTATGTCATTTTGTCCGCTCGGTACCGACGTGGTCGAGTGATCCCGGCTTCAAGCCAACCTCTACGCGGTGGGACACTGAGACTACTGTTGTAACCGCGGTGAACTGTGGGACACGCTGGCCATCGAAGTGATGGCAGTGATTTGTTTTCGACGCTGTCGATCGAATCGGCTCGTTCCAAGATATCGACATTGCTTGGAAACTTGGAACCTTCGGATCCGCAGATCTGCTTGAGACAGACGTCTTCCTTGCGGAGACCGGGCGTGTTTCCAAATTTGGACATGCGAATCTTCCCAATTAAGAGGGAATTTAGCATACCCTCCTCAATTGCCTCGATGGAGATCATCGCAACTAAGCGCAGATCCAGAGTTGCTAAATATATAATAAAAGAGCAGAGGATTCGGGAAGAGATCTAAAACCGGTCTTTAAGTGGAATATTCAATATGAATTACGAAACTTGGAAACGGGACCAAGTGCACGAGAAACAAAGAATTAAAAAATATTGATCTTGATATATATTTTTGTTAAATACATTTATACTAGAATCCTAAGGTTGAAGTTCTTCTAGATTATACAGATAGTTTTAGATTAATTATGCACTTTGAAAATAAGTTTTACAACAAAGATCCTGCAGTAGACTAGTAGAATCAAGCAGTTGACGAAGCTAAATCTTCTGCTTCGGAATAACTACTGGATGTTATCCGCTGCCAAAATTGAGCTGTGACAAAAATGGTAATCCAAATGTGTCGTTCAAGAAGAGATAGTGAAATCTTTCACTGGTTCATCTGAGTATGTTACAGCTGACTGGTCAAGAACCAAATTAAATAGTACTTATGGCATTAAGCTCCAAATACTAATGAAGCAATTAGCATAATTTATTATGCATTTAGAGACATCACGACTTTCCTGATTATGTAAGAAGTTCAAGTAAGAGAGAATTGTGTCGGGGACACGAGGATTAGAGGCTGGGCAAAATAGCGAGGGAGGGAGGCGAATCAGTTGAGATCCTGATCGGATTTGAAAGCTGCTCATAGGCTGCGAACTTATGTAGCCGTGTTTAGATGGTCAGGGGGTTAAGACACGGCCGAATTAAAGTAGTGGGTGAATGCAGTTAGTCAAACTGACCAAAATTGACTTAATTAGACGTGGAGTGAACCAGCATCTCTCTTTTCTATTTGAGCGCCAAATTTGGGGACTCCCTCAAAGATTTCATCCGAGATTGCACTGCCACCTCTCCCTCCTTCGCTAAAGGCGCACTTGGCGCTTCAGCTGTTCAATCCTCGATAGTAAGTACATACACACTTATGCACAGTCCGTAAAGCAGAGAGTCGACCAGATTCAGTGTACCTCTTGGCTGTCCATGACGTTAAAGTATCCATTATTATTGCGATGGTTGAAGAAAATGCACAAAGAAAAACGTTCTAAATACACCATCAAAGCTTGCTACTGGACCAATATTTTTGAACAGAAAACCAAGAGAGTTCTCAGAACCGATTTGTAAAGGAGCGCTTGAGTATCACATATTTCTCTCGTCACAATACCAATACACAATTTATCAATACACAAAAGCATGATACCTAGAAAAGTTTTAAAAGTACCATGAAGGAACACAACAATATAGAGTTCAATTTAAAATAGCGAAAGTGAACAACACTTCCCTCTGCTTTGGTAAATAACTGACGATTAATATGAGTAATGTTACCTACTTTTCCCGGTCCTACAGTTTTATTACTTATGGTTTTCAACATGCATTGGAAGGGTTTTTCTTACAATTTGCATGATGCACTTCAGATTTCAAACATAACTGGCAGTGAGTTACAACTTTAATTTCCTCTGATGGATCTTTATGTTATATTTCATTTATTTAAAGATTTTTTGCACTCAATGTAAAGTTACTCATCCGCTGATATATCATGTATAATTTAATATTCATGTGATCGCATGATATGGTCGATTGCCAAGATCTGATTTATTTCGACATACGTACTCGTAAAAGAAAAGTTACTCAGGACTCCTGCCTTACCTATGAATCGAGAATCTCTTCTTACCTTTTGAATTGACAAATGTCTTATAAAGTTCGAAACATTTCCAAAATCTGTAGTGGAATTAAATATCCACTAAAGGTGATCTTCTCCTTGATGTTCACTTTTAGTAGCCGGAGCACTTTATGCACCGGAAGAAAGCTCCGCCAAGACCGGAAATCTGATGGGTCGGGTAGACGGCAAGAGCAGGGGGCGGTCGTCAATCCGAAGCTTCTTTCCAAGTCGCGACCGGCTCCAGGAAGTCGACGTCGCGGACTGCAACCGGCGGAGCACGTCGTCAATGGGCTTTCGTGGGACGCTTTTCCAAGACGAGGAGGGAGGAGGAGGATTACACGATTCTCGTTGTATGCGACTCGAACACGATTACGTAGTTTCTCGTGCGGAGCACGTTTGTTGCAATGGCTTGAATCACTTCTTCTCCGCAATGATGATGATGATGCGCCGGGCCAAGATTCGTCGACGATTCGTTATTTGGGTCGATGTGTTGAGGCGCTAGACGGCGTGATGATGATGACCGAATCAGCGTGGTGAGATTTCGAAGATTTCAATTGTTTGTGCAATCATCTGGCGAGACCTCCCTCGATCCTTCCTCTCAGAAAGGTTGTTCAGGTGTCGGTGAACGAAGAAACACGAAACATTATTTCGTGCCATACCATCCTGGGGGTTATTGTTCTACGACTTCCTTGATGTAGAGGGTACTCTTCAGGGAAGGTTTCCAATGGCCAGAATGGATGTACAAGAAAAACACGAGGAAAAGGGCAGGAGAATAATCAACAGCCTCACCTCGAGGTTTTCTGGAAGAGGGATCTGAATATATCCCCAGCATCGCAGATTATAATGCGTGAGAATGTAGGAAGTGGCGTCAGCCACTATAAAGGCTCATTCTATACAGTCACGACATAGTATGATGGGGAGTCCATCACAACTTCTAGGAGGCAAAAAACTTCCAGGTTCCAAATGTGCCCATCATGCCGAGCAGATCGGATCAATCCTGGATAAGGTATAATACATCAACATCAGACCTCTTTCGGGTATCCCGCAGGACTCGAAAGAGGTCGGAATACCTTTCGCAGGTACGCCCATCAATGAGATCTTGGGGCCCGGGACACCGTCACATATCTCGGTCGCTCTCACGAGGCGAGTGGGAATGACTCCTGCTCTCTCGCCCATTGGAAAGATTCAAGTTCCACATGAAGCACTGTGAAAATGAATTGCAGGAGAGAGCAAATAGCGCCAGCTCCTCTGGGTCATATGCCCAGCGCCTTGCATGAGAGAATAATAAAGAAAAGCAGAGAGAGCTGCACGATGCCCGTCCACAGATACCCTCCAGCTTGACGTCAGAGGGAGACCTTTTCTGCGAGGTGGTTTAGAAGCCCACAAGGAGGTAACACGAGTAATCAGGAATGGAACAGAGTCATGTCACCTCCGCTTTAGAGCCGGAAGCAACTATTTTATGATTAAGCCCTTTTGTGTCCACCATCATGCTCATCAGATAGTGGTGAGGACACTTCGACATCCGTTAGGCTTTGTCACCTGGCCTCGAGACGACCAGTAAGACAAGAGTGATGGTGATATGTTATTGAGAATCAATGGCCATCGTGTGAATTGACGAGAGGTCAACAGAGATTTCAATCAGGCCTCAGGGAGATATTTACTCAGTTCAGCTCCTGTCTTTGACTACCTCAACTCTTGTACAAACCATTGAGATCATAACTTGATCAACACTTGGCCATGATGGGGGTGACGAGGTCATTTTGCAAGAAGAGAAGGTGAACATTTTCCCCAGCATGTTTCGTGGCCTATTCATGTGTTGGCACTTGAAAGGGACAAGGTGGCCAACTACTGTAAGTCAAGCCCTTAACAGCTTCGCTCGAGATGCACATCATCCGCTCTGTAGCTGTTCGTCTTCCAGTAGAGGAGCCTACAGATGGAGTTTGGATGCAATAAAATCCCGGTTTCCTGATCACGTTCAGTAAGAAGCGACCTCAACAATTTTGTTTGTGTAGCTCTGCACGCTCCAACTCGATCACGGCCTTTCTGCAGCCCCATTCCTCATGGACTTGTTTTGCCAGCGACATCGAGGTGGACGATGTGCAGACAGTTCTGACAAGTGTCACGAGGCGAAGTCAGGAACTAAATATGGACAAAGTTTGCAATTATGCATAGTGGTAAAGACTTCGGACGAACGCTCGGTCTTGTCCTACTCGTTTATAAACTCGAAGTTTTACTCATCGCTGTCGATATCTACGCATGTCTATGACACTTGCTCCGGCTCAAAAGTACTTTCCCATAGAGAACGTTCTAAAGGGGTCCTCAGTTGCTGACTCCAAGAGATTTCCGACGTGAAAAGTCCAGGACGAAGCGCATTGGAATGAAACATTGGTGATTGCTGTGAGAATTGCCATTAGTTTGCTAGCTTGTGGATTTGAATACAGCAAGTAGGACTGATGGCGACGTGGCTTGCGGCGTTCTTATGGAACTTGCTCTCCTTTGAGAAGGCGAGCTTTATCTGTGCTAGAACTTCTTCGCATGGTTGCTTTTGTAAAGTCTCAGGCTACTTTTTGAGTTCGGCGATGTGTTTCGAGGCTGACTGCGAGTGAAACGTGTAGAAATGTAAAAACCTCTAAAAAGGTTGGTTCATGCCAGTGGACAGGCAAGGAGACGAGGAGATCTAGATACATGTGACATTCGTAACTTGTCCATGCAATAACACTTGGCAGTGATGGAATTACCAAATCAAACCCCTTTCCAAACAATGGCAAAGACAAGCTGAATCTATCTCTTGTGGCTACACAAGATTTTCAGCTTTCGCAGCATGCAGACGTGCACTTCACCAGGTGTAGTTCTTAACCGCTCATGCCTTTTATCCTCGTGCGAGCATTTCAATCAATCATATTCGAGACTTCACTGACAAGGTACGACACAGACTTTAAACCAAACTTCATCGAATGCTGTGGGGTCCACGTCGACGGACACATACAACTCCGCTGAAACAACGACCTCATGTAACACCTATGCGCCAGTGGTCCTGGTGTGCAATGCTCAAGCCGGTGCAATTTTGAAATCTCTGAACACATGGCATTCTAATTGTTCCGTCTCTCGACCAGAATCCGTGGCTTGCAACCAAAGTCGAAACTGGGAGGAGGCAGACACACAAAGACTGAGGACTGGGACACACTAGGACTGAGAAAAAAGTGGGGCATCGAGCACAGACACCAGGGGGCATACAATGAGAAGAAATCATTGTGAAAACAAATCCAGCCAAAGGGAGATGCGAAGACATAGATGTGACCCATTCGATGAGAGTGTTTATTGACCACAATTTGCAGCGTGGGTAATCACGACGAACATGTACAGTAGCTCAGTTCCTAAAATGTTTCAATTTAATTCCTACTTTCATTGACGTATCTACACTTCCCCATATTCACATAATACTTGCGATACAAAGTCGACCTCTATGATGACTTCTGATCGGGGAAGAAAATGAGGTTGCAGCAACAGGCCTTTTCATCAGTTGCAGTTGCTGCATCACTGCTTCATCATCTTCAAGAGGCAAGGTGGCATTGTTGCCCAGAATTTCTCTAGATTTTTAGGCAGGAAAAACCCCGCAGTTTTCAACTTCGAGATCAGCTGGAACAGGCCGGATCCAAAAACCTACCCGTAGTTCTCTCTCTCTCCTCTCGTTCTATGTTTCCTACTCATGATTCACTGTATTGGCCAGGGCTACCGAAACCTCGATAACGATTCCAAAAATCCATGACAAAATGAATAAATACAACCCATTGCTCCAAATTGTAGCCAATTCGCTAGGAACTGTTGTTTGTGGCCAGACAACACCAGAAGAAAAATGCAGGACAGGATAAACATAACGCAAGGAGTTAAGGGCTGTACATAACATTTGACGCTTAAAATGTGACAGGCTTTCTGGTCAGAATGAGAGTGGAATGGCTCATTGAGTGATGATCTGAAGCTGCGATTCGGGCGCTGCCTGTTGCTGATGATGTTGGGATTGATCCTGTTGACTCGAGGTCGATTGCGGGACGGTAGGAGGGCCAAGACTCGGAGGGGAGGAGGGAGAAGCAGCCGCCGGAGAGGGCAAGCTGGAGGAGTACTGCGAAGCCTGATGATGCACGGAGGGGGACGGCAGAGACAGGGCGTAGGGAGAGAAGGCCGAAGACGGCGAAGGCAGAGATGGGGTGGGGGTCGAAGGACCGGACGCGATGTGATCGACCGACTGCGATCGCCGATCCTTCATGGCGGCGGCCCACGGAGAAGAGTACTTCTTCGGCCGCGACGGAGGAGTGGGAATCCCGGGGCCCGGCAAGTACCAGCGGGCGCTATCGTTCTGCGACGACGACAAGCTGTCGAGCTGATCTCTGGAATCGGAGAAGGTTCTCCTCAGGCTGAACGTTCGACGAATACTGAAATTCCACCGGTCGGAGCGCGTTCCGCCATCGCCTCCCGTGCTGCCATTGCCTTTGCGCCGCACGTACAAAGGGCCGCTCGCTTCGCCCTGCAGCCTCACGCGTTTGTCACCGTTTCTGCTCAGGGGCGGCAATTCGCCGCTCTTTCCCGTGGACGGGAAGTCCAAATTCCTCTGCCAGGGCGGCAATTCGCCGCTCCGCGTGCGAGGGCCCAGCAGCGATTGCTCCTGCTGCGCAGCCCGGACGCTCTCGTTCTGCAAATCGATGCTGTCCCACAGCTCGCCGCTCCTGAAAGCCGAGGATCCGCGCCGGCTGTCCTCCGTGTAGGTCATGTTCTGGAGCTCGTTGAAAAAAATGTTGTGCAGCTCGTCCTCGCTCTTCTCGCGCCGCACCTTGGCGCCCGCGGGCGCGGCCGGCTCCTTGGCGGGCAGGCGGTGCTCGCCCAGCAGGCGGGCGCGATCGACCCTCAGCCCGTCGCCGGCCGTCTCCGGGGAGAAGTAGTCGGCGTAATTCTGCCCGAAGAGCTGGCGGATGTAGCGCCCCGAGGAGCCCACGGAGCTCGATCGGCGCAGCGCCATGTTGAACGACTGGCTCGAGCCGACCGACCGGTTGGCGCCGCGCTTGTCGAAGCCGGCGCCCGCGCCAGCGATGGTGGCAGGGTGGAAGCGCGCTGACTCGCTGGCTGCGCCGATGCGCTCCGTGACCTCGATGCCCCTGGCGGCCTTGCGGAACGAGGTGGAATTGCGCGAGAGCGCTCGGTTCAGAGCGCGGAGCTCGCCGGCGCGCTCCTCGCCCACGTTCTCCTCGCGGCTGGCCAGGCCCGCGTCCATGCGCTCGGCCTCGTCGCGGCGCAGGCTGTCGGTGAGCAGGCGCTCGGCATTCTCCCTCGAGAGCAGCTCCAGAATGGACCCATTGGGCGGCGCCGGGGGCCCGTCGTGGATGGTGATGGCCACGCCCTCGCTCACGTTGCCCCGCGAGTCGACCCGGACCCAATTCGCGAACGCCTCCGGGCTGGCGCCGCCCTCCTTGCCCTCGGCCGGCACGAGGCTGCATCGGCACAGCGGGCAGGTGGCGTGCGAGAAGAACCACATGTCGATGCACTCCGGGTGGAAGAGATGGCCGCATTTCGGCAGCAGTCTGAGCCGCTCGTCCTCCTCGAACTCGCTGAGGCACACCGCGCATTCCGACAGGTCTTTGCCGCCCTTGAGCCCCTTGACGAGCGAGTAGCCCACCAGCGGCAGGGTCTCGACCACGGCTCTGTCCAAGCCCTGGCCCGAGCGGTTCTGGGCTTCCGCCGCTCTGGAATTGGGCGGGCCGTTGTTCACATTCTCGGGCTCCGTGGTCGTGCACCTGCGGACGTATATGGAGAAGAATCCCATGAACAAAAATGCGCTGATTAGCACGATGATGATGATGGCCATGCTCGGATTGAATTTCGCAGTTATCTCGTATCCTGTCGGGTCCGGCGGTACTGCCGTGGCGTTGTTCTCTCCGGCCAGCACGTTGAACGTCTGATTCCATACCATTTCTGCGAAGGCGCCTGCCGTCGCCGAACCCATCTCTGTGTCTACGGCCATCCCGGCGCTCAGCCCCATTTGAATCTCTATCTCTATCGAATGATTGCGACCAGCAGTCGTGAATCTACTACCTGTTTCCCACTGATTCCAATCGACAGATTGGCCTGCTCCTGCTCACAGACTATGCTCAACCAAATCCCGACTTACTTCTTCTTCTGCTTCTTCTGCTCCTGCTTCTGCTTATTCTCCTTCAGTTACTTCCACTCTCGTCTTCTTCGCTGTGCTTCTGAAAATTCGATCGAATCTGTATCTCCAAAAACATCAAACCTCCCTGCATCTGAAGCTGCTACGCGAGCAGCTCACCAATCGGGCGCCCACTCGGGCTTCTAATCTACGCAATCAGAAAGATGGAAAAAATAGAAGGAAAGCTTCACAAGACAAGTAGAAATCATCTATGTCCCAAGACCGTGCGGCACACGAGCCTGCCCGGGATGAATGAAGGAACGAACGAGAGAACGAGAGGAAGGCAATCTATCGGGTGCTAAAGAATTAGGCGTGAATTTGAACACATGCAAACGGAGCCGCGCCTCGACTCCGCTCGATCTCCGAACTGTTTTGAATCGTGGATTCACCTGGCGACTACTGCAACAGCCATCCGGACGTTTGCGTCCAGAGGAGGACTCCCCACGCTGATGGGCAAAGGTATATGTAGGTATGTATGAATAAACAACAAAGGAAACAACAACAACAACAACTCGAGGGGGTCGGGAGTCACAGGCCCAGTCTGATTATCTCTCTGACCGACCGACTGACTGACCCACTGACTGACTGACTTCCGCTTCTGCTTCTTCTTCTAGTGCTAGGTTCTTGCAAGGTAGGTCGGGCACAAACAAAGGAGGGGAGAAAAAGGGCACTCTCCTCGCTCTCGATATCAGTAGAGGTCCTGAGTTCGCAAGCAAAAGCTAGCTAGCTGGCAGAGGAAGGCAACAAGCGTAGAAAGCTGATCCGGCTGGACTCTCGACAGCAACAGCAGCAGCAGCAGCGTCGATCCTGCGGCCCAACTCTAGGACCTCTCTTGCTCTATCCCTGTAATTCCAAGAATAGAGTCAATTGTGAATTGAAAAGCACCAGCTATATTATAACAGTGCATCTCCTGCTGCGCGGAGCGGAGCCGAGCCGAGCCGAGCTCTCGCAGCTTGTCCCTCTCAAAGCTCGAGCTAAAGTTCATGAGGCGGCGACTTCTGTGCGACGGAACGCCACAGGCGACTCATCTCAGTCAGTCGCGCTCTCATCTGCTTCGTCCGGAGCTCGGCTCATAACTTTGGCCCAACCAAGAGTCAATCTTGTGTCTGTGTAAGAACCTCCGCCAATCTCAGCCTCACCCACGTGTGCCGGTCCCACATTCGGCAGATTCGGCCTGCCTCCCTCCCAAACTCGCCCACTCTCCCCTCCCCTCCCCTGCCCCGGGTCCAGTACAGCTGCTTCGAGCTGCGGCTGTACTGTGATTCCCGGGTGGATGAATGTAACCAAGCAGCCGCTCTCCTCACTCCAACCTGAGGGTGCTGCCGTGGATGCGATTCCTGGCCAAAAGCTCACGACAAGGTTCGGACCAATGGCAATCTCGGCAAGACCGCCCCAGCGGACCTCAGGTCAAAGATTTTTTGTTTTCCATTGAGATCAAGGCTCCGGCTTGAGGTTGGGCCGGGCTCAGGTTAGCAAATCTGCAAGGAGCGACGGGCGTCGCCTCTGTCCATCTATCCAATCCTCTGTTCTGTGTCCGTGTCCGGAAACTGTACAAGGGAAGTCGGAAGGAAGTACCCCCGGGTCGCAACTCGACTACACTACCTGCACGAACAGCTTGCGTGCAGGCCGGTCATGAGGCCGAGGACGGCGGCCGGTTATTCTCCAGTTCTGCACTCATCCGCTCCAAGTCTCCGCTCTTGGACGATTTGCTTGCTGCGCATAAATCTCTCTAACTTTTCCTTTTTTTTTGTATCGCTGTCCCTCTGCCGCTCGATTTCACTTGCTACCCTATTGTTGCTGGTCGTGAAACGTACAGTACACAGCTTCCCATGCGCAGTAGTCTAAAGTAAATCACATCGGTTTACATGGGGGGAGGGGAAGGGGGAGGTTGAAGTTCCTCGTCATCCGAAATGACTTTTTTTTTCTCCCCTCCTTACTCTGGGCCACGATCGCAAGCTTGGACGAAGACACATGCCCTCCTTCCTGTCCGTGGCGCTTTGCCTGGTCCCTTCTAGAAGCCGGATCCAACACAACGCAGTCACTCACGGACGCAGAGTTTCTCTCGAAATTTCCCGGCCGTGCTTTCTCTTGCAAAGTGCCCTCTTTCCACTCCGAGGCCAGCAAGGCTTAGCAGATTCGCTTATGGGGGGGGGGGGGGGACTTTGGGACCCTGAAATGTTGCAAGAGATTCTCACTCAACCGGCATCTTCTTCTGGTCCATTTAAGGTCGCTCATAAATGACATCCGGATCCTAAGTGCCGGTTGTGTTCTGGAGTGTGTTGTAAGGCGAAGAGAGCTCAGTGATCACATAAATGAATTCCATATTCGAGACCAGTTCATGAGGTTCTTGAGCATCCCTCTTAGCCATGTCCTCGACATCTTCAGTCTGATGTGACTTGAAGCATCTGCATCTTCGACCTCCTTGGGTTCAGCGTACAAGCTATTCCATTTTCTCGGGGATTTCTGGAATTTGTCTCCGGGGTAACTACTTCCTCCCTCCCAATGAGCAGGCCTAAAGCAAATTACAGATGACATTGGAATATCCTCACTGTAGGCTATAGGTTGAGAAGAAGAAAATTTGTCGAGGGACGCACAGAAGACACCTTCTAACCAACTTTAGCGGGATGAAGCTTAGGTACATCCATGATTAGGTTTGTCCTTGCACTCATGTTTAGAAACAGCGTCACTCGGCCTCGAGTTCTTCTGACTGTCATTGACTCACGGTCTGCTGCTGTAGTTTTCCTATTCTCTTTTAATGGCCACTACGACCGACATCTACATTCTTGTCAATCCCCTCGTCACTCCAAGGATCACTATATCTGAAGTACTTGCGGTACTAACCCGTCTCGAGCTGTACTACACTTTCGCCTCGAATTGCATGACCAGCTGCCTCTCTGTATATCAACAACTCCGCACAATCTCTGCTCCAATTCCTGGGACGTGTCAACTTTCCGTCAACTTGACAACATTTTCTCCTGCCGGCTCCCAAGTACGATACTACTTTCAAATGGCAGACTCAATCCCAAGAGACTTCTCGCATGCCACACTTGAAGTGGAAACGATGAATAGTTTTTGCATTTGTCTTATTCCCTACACATTTAAATGTCGTGCGGATGGCTTCCACAGATGTCATTTTTTTACCACCAATGGAATGTAGCCAGCTCTATGAGTTTGCAATAATTCACTGCACCATTCTATCACCACAGGAGCAAGGACGGAATATCCTCTCGTAGTTCAACTCACTGACTCTAATCGAAAACGGTCATTTGCTTTATGTACTTTCATACACAACAGCTCAACTTCCACTTAACATGGCCTCAAGATCTTTCGCAGTGTGGTTCTTGGTTTACATCACCAATCTTGAATAATCCGTTTGGGTCATACTTGCGGCAATATCACAACCATACTTGTCCTGCAAGTACGTCCGTAGTACAAACTGAAAACTGAAACTCCCCAATTCCTAGTCATCAAGTCGTCCACCCAAACTGCTCCCCCACTGATACCGCTCCACTTTTTGTGGATTGTATGCAAATTGTCAAATCAAATCGAGTGTGTGATTCCCACTTGAGACATGTCAAACTGTTCTCAAACCGGTGATTTGGCATCTCCCAACACATCCAGAAGAAAATTCGGCGTGGATGGATTCTGTTAGATTTCCCAGCTGAACAACTCCAGGGAGCCGCATTGTGGCTTCAGCTTTGAACGTACGTCGTTGATCAGGAGCACCTCTTGCAACCCTTGGAACCCGGATTCACTTCACTGACTCTCGAAATCGAGATACAGAGAAAATATTGTTCTTTTCGCCTGCTGAGTTGTCAACCTCCCCAGGGTTTGGGGCGACCAGGCTGGCTTCAACGAAAACCACTTTGGATACCGGTTTCGGTATCGTCACTCTTATAATCTAGCACCACATCACCAGGCTGTCGACTAAGTACACGATGACCGAAAGCCTAGCTACAACAATAGGACTTGGCTTACCGGTTTCGCTATTCACCATCTTTATTCTCGATCTCTCGCTCCACCAGGCTGTCGACTAACAACCTCACGAACGAATTAGTGACTCTCTTTACTCTCGATTAACATCTCCGCCTTCAAGGCTCATGGTGACGTCAAGATCTGTGTCCTTCGAGTCGGAACCACCTCCATCTCAACCGACATCCCAGGTCTCGCTCTCTCCTCCTCCCTACACTTTCTTGGTCACATCAAGTTCCCCAAACCTCTAACTAATTCGAGGTATCTCCTGCTCATTCGTACGGACATTTTGCTCTTGGCTCTGACCCGATGTGGTCAATAGCTCTAGGAGCCGACAGTGGGGTTTAGTACAGATACAATTCTGCGTCCGCCCAGATTTAGCTATCGTCCGACGCTGTCGCACATCCATAGCCACCCTGCCTTCAAATAGAAGCCATTGCTCCCACCAGTAATCATTCCGTGTGTAAGGGTTTTGTTTAAAAGTGGAAGGCTAATATTTAATCTATTCCTGGGATTTCTGTCGAGATACGGATTGTTTAATGTTGCTTACATCAGCAACCGAGAGCACACACGTACGTCCGATGCTTAGAGCAATGGCTGATAGAGATTGTTGGCAGTCAGTCAGTCCGTCAGTCGCTCGCTTCCTCTATTCTCACCGCTTCCATCACTCCCCCTTGCCAAAGTGTAGCAGTCCTGGCCTGAAGATTCTGCGGCATCTGCTTCAGCAATTGTTCGAAGAATGAACTTTTTGAGTGAGCAAAATGCGGTGGCCGATCTCTTGCTTCTCCTTCTCTTCCTCCAAACTGGAACGATGGGGAACTGATGGGTTGTGACAGGAGCCCTGGAGCCCTGGAGCGACGAGAGAGGTCAGCAGTCCTCGACCATGTGCTTTTCTCTCGCATGGACTGTACAATTCTTTAGTGTTCTTGTTTTCCTTCATGTGCGCTCGTACATGTCCACATTGTACACTTGCATTGCTTTCGTTAAATTTAGGGTTGTAGTCCAAATAACGTTCGCTCTATTTCTGGTAAGTTAGGCCACGCAAGAAAAATACAGAGTATTCGCGGATTGAGCTTGAACTATGGAAACAAGAATTCGAAAAATTGCTCGTTGCTGAACAGCCATCATAATGACCCATCAATAAATGTAGGTTTCTATCTATTAGTTTTTATTTTATTCTTTCGAAGGATAATTTTTTTTTACAATTGGGGCAAAAAACAAACCTAAAAATATTACTTTGTGTAAGTGTAGCAACAAATTTGTTGGCAAATACATTTCTAACTATAATTTTTCTATATCTTTGATATGCATTCTAAGATTTAAAGATCCAAAATATGAATAATGTAATATTTTGTTAGTTTTTCCTTCAGTTCAGAATCTACTTTGATTAATGATTAGATAAAGCAATTGCTGAGATCATGTAATTATGAAATTACTTTGTGCCATACTATGTTGTCTCAGTGAGGTCCATCTCGTCTTTGCCATGTCGAAACGGTGCTGCATGATATATATCTATGTTAAAAGGTATAAATGTTAGATTATGTGTATGGCGAGATAGACGTTAACAAGATAAGTGGAACTGGTAGAAAGTTGTTTCTTGACTTGCAAATGGAATGTTTGTTTGTATTGAGTTGCACAATAAAGCTAAAACCGGAAAAGCAAAGCATACACACAGTCCAAAATAACTCATGATTACATAGTGTGATTTTGATATGTCAAGAATGTTCAATCCTAGATTTAATTCTTCCTGCTTAAGATATGATTTGCAATTTTATAGAGAATAAAAATACCTCTGATCTTCACTCGATCATCATTGAAATATCAATGATTTTTATAAACATCATTGATTGATTTTTTGTAAGTAACTATCACTACTTTAATAAAGATAGAAAATATAATGAAATGTATGTCGTATGATAGTCAAATGACTCTACCTTTCAACTTGATGTATCAAGCCAGTCATGAACATAATTTTGTACAAATAGCATGTGTATGTGTCTTGGTTAGTAATATTTTAGTTAGATTTTTCTATGAAATTATTGTATGTTTTAATCTTAAGCAAGTAAAAAATTAGAATTTTTTCTGTTTAAATGCTTAAATTTATGAGTTGAGACTTAGAGTTTTGATTGCCTACGTTTTAAACGATCTGACCAAATGGAGCAAGGAGTATTGAATCATATACATCTCAATCCTATTATAAATCTATTGATATCAATGTAAAACAATGAAAATCTAACGTGCACAATTTTTTCTAAATTATAGTCTTTCAAACATTTACCGTTAATTTCTAAACCTACCTAAACTTCCCTCCTTGATTTATGTCATGCTACAATTGATGTTGTCCACAAATTGGGATCATATATTATTACATAACCTTTATTGTGAATCTTTTAGCTCGACTGAACTCTAAGCTTTCCAAGAAGTATTTGAGTTTTTCAAAATTAATCATTATCATACTAAAAGTGTCAACACATGAACAAGGCCACAAGGAGAGTAGTGAAATTTTTGGAAATGATGATGTAAAATTCTTGTTACATCCTTAGGTATTTCAAGAATATTTTTCTTATTTTTTTCATGCTTGATCCAAGGTACATGAATATATATAATTTAAATTTATTGATGATTTTATTTAATTATCATCTGATTTAAAAGAGGTATCTGAATTTTTGAACCCACTTTAGGAGAACTATCATTACAGATAACCAGATTAAGCACAAAGCTGCAGAGTTATATCTCACACCTGAGTTACCGGGTTCTCAAGTGGATGTGAAACATGTCACACAAAGATTTACAAAGTGTCTACCAAGAGGAAAACATAGATTGTTTAATTCTGAAACACACACACTTCACACATTAGATGCTTTCACTCATTCTTTAATACTTGCGGGTTTTTACAACTTCAGTACATACATCCTACAGTAGTAATAAGATTACTTTCACATGTTAAAAATGCAAGCCATTAGACATGATATTCAAATGCATAATTGGTGTATTCTTTGAGAGGGATGTCAGTAAATTATCAACAGGAATGAAGGTGTCGTAAGATGATGTACAGAATCGACAGTGACATAGTGAGACAAGTCATGATCGTGGCTGTGTGCGACTACATTCAATGTAATATAAACTTAACTAAATAAATAGAAAGTCTTGTAGGAGATGTGCTCCATATTTCTTCACTTTCAAGCATGTTCGATATTTCTTGTTTGTATTTATCAGAATTTTGAAAGCTTTGAGAAACATATTACAAAAACTCGCACAATGAACTGCGCTTCATGATAAGTTTCTAAAACTTTTATGTCAGTTTTGATTCGATGGCATCGAGGATATGCGTGCATCATGTAAGAGCGTTAACTCATGTGACCGTGACAAGTTACATGAGGCGGACGATTCTTTCGGAAGATGAGCTAGCATGTCCGACATGGCAAGGAGCACGCCACCTGTGTCAAGCAGGATTTAGGTACGTTCATCTTTGCCGTTCACAGGTGCGTGGCAGCGGTAAATCCACGTAAGCTAAGTAGTTATTAAGTTTGGGCTTTTAGGAGGAGCGACGGTATGTAAAGAGAGAGAGAGAAAGAGAGGAGTTCGGTGAAAAGGTAAGAACGCGTGGTCAAGTAAACATCAGGTGCTTCGGACTTGTCGGGTTGAAAGTGACGAAGCATGTCTATCCCATCGGCCGCCGGCGGCTGCCTGGCAGACAATTGGCACGCGGCCACGGCTGAGGAGACGAGTATGATGGTGACGATGATAATGATGCGAACGAGGCCCCAACATTCACATACATTCACCACACTCCCACCCGAAGCAAGATCACAGCTTCGCAGGGCGGGAGAGACAGAGCACCGAAGCAAGCAAGACCTCCGACGAGTCGCGCTCCCATCTGAAGATGGGCATGATGAAATGTGATGATGGAAGGATTCTCCTCGGCGACGATGTGCACATGGAGTACACCCATCATGACTCATCGCGCCGCGATGACTATGGATAGCTCTCGCGGCCAATCGACAAACAACTTCACGCGCTCCTCTTCCACAAGCGACAAAAGACCCAACTACGCCGAGAACCTCGTCAACTCGCCTCAACTGGTCACCGTGTCGAACTTCGGCCTAGTTTGACATGGACATGGTAGACCCCATCGATGGCAGTCACAGAGCGGTCTATCTCAACAGCTACTGTACCGTACTGCACAGTACGGGTAGTCGTTCTACACACGAAGTGCATAGTAGACGAAGTACAATCCAGGTCACCCATGGTAACGCTTCTTCCATTGACATATTTTACCACGTACTCGTCATGGGCTGGTACGTAGGCCGAAGCTTATCGCCACGCTCCGAGGCGGAACGCTCGCCGAAAATAGGCGGGAGATTGTGCAGTCGGATGAAATGATTCACTACGTGACGGCTCCTTTTTCGTTGGATGTTACTGTAACCACAGTAGCAGTAGGCCCGGCGGGCTTTCTTTCTTTCTCCCTACGCGGATATGGTAGAGGAGCGAACTCAACCCGGTCCCATTGGACCGAGCATGCGAGCGAGGAGGGGAGATTCAGAGGAATCTCCTCGCTAGAGACAAACGCGAGAATGTGTGCGGAGGTTCGAGAGGGCGCCATCCAGGGGGACCTAAGACCGCACCGTGGATGTGTCCATAGGCGGAGTACCTGAGTGCTCCTTTGGACTTTGGAGGGGTCGGAAAGCTCGGAGAGCTCGGAGGCATGGGCACTCGAGTCGCCCTGCGGGTGGATCCGCCCTGGCCAAGCCGACGTCATGCGCTCCATGGCCTGAGATGCGGGAAGCAAGATCGACTGCAATGCAGTCCGTGGGCAGAAGAGGCGCCACTCGAATCTCTCACGCCTTTCCTGGCTCTACAATCTCCGCTCGCTCTTGCCCCGATGCTCCCCCTCATCCTTCGTCCAAACATGCGATCTTCCCCCTCCTTTTCCTCGTCTGAATTGTTTTGTCCCGGTCTTCGGAAGACTTCTTTCAGATGATGGTGGGTCTTTGTCTGGCTTCTGTGAACTTCTCGAATAAGAACGTGATGAATGGCATATGAAGGCTCTCCAGATTATTTGCAGGTCGTTGCCATACTTGGAGTTGGGCTTTACGCAAAGCTTTATTGGATCCGATCGTTTTATTGTTGTATTTCTTTCTTGGGCTTTCCCGATGATGGAGCCAATGCTGATGCTGATTCTGGTTGCGTGCAGTAAGTAGTTGGTAGTTGGTATGGGGAGGAAAGGCGAGGCTGACAACAAGCTATCAAAAGGTGTAGGCTTTACTTCTTATGATGAAGACGGATGAGGGAGTGATGCGAAACTGAGCGTTTACGTGAGCGCATGCGCCACATTCATCTGTTTCGTACCATCCTGCAGGATTTCGACACAAAGTTTACAAATTCTCTTTGAGAAAAATTGCAATTAACTGACCCCGATGAAAAAGGACAAATAGAAGACCTTGTTTCGAATCTCAAAGAGAGGACTACAGTATGGGGTGAATGTCATGACCGCTCAACGCACCTCGAATCAACTGCACTGTCGGATCTCAGGATTTATACCTCACGGCTACTTGTTGCATAAAGTACTACAGTGTCTCTAATTCTTCATGGAACATATAGTTGAACGGTTTACTTTCCAAGGCTACAACTATTCATGCAAGAAAGGTCACTCACATCCTTAGCACATGCAGATTCCAGTGTAGACTCAAGACTTGTGGCCTAAACTTCTCGTAATACGTCAGTTCCCTTGACTCGAAACAATTTCTCGGTGCCTAACTTCTTCCCATTTGCTCTACTCTTACTATTTAGTTTTTTGTTGATATTTATCCAACTAAAAGTGAAATCAAACATGTTTAGCCTAGCAAGCTTGTTTCCGTTTATTCCAATCCTATTGATCTGAAGATGCAACTAACTAAGCCATCTTTCCTTGGAAAGTAACCTCAATCTAATGAATCTAGTGATTGGAAGGATGTATGCAAAGATGTGCATATTGTCCCGATCGAAGCTTATCACCGACATGACATCGAGGGTGAGCTAAACAGCGAGTCTTTAGCAGTCACATGGAATATCCTGCAGAATTGTAGCAAGGTCATCGAATGCAAGGAAACAATTTCGTGATTCGCTTCAGGCAAAAGTGATGAGTGATCTTGTCAGTAAAACTTTGAAAGAAACTTGTTGCACTGGAGTGCAAACTCTTAGACTTCGCTACAAAAACTTGAATCCATCCAACAAGAAATTCAGTGTAATGTTCATAATGACTTCAATAGGCTCACTAAGTATACAATCGTAATGCAGATTTGTGAGAGAGCATGTTTGAGAAGCTTGTCCCGGCCTACTGAAGGCTTTGACCTGATCAGCGCTGACTGTAACTTTGATACGCGTTGTCATTCGCCATAGTAGAGATTTGGTTCTGGACAAAGTCTCTTTAACAAAGAAGGATCACAATAAGATTGATCTCGGAAGAAGCGATGCCCGTCCTGACTGACAACCATAGTGGCCTCCTTTGAAGTTAGGACGATTTCAAGCCTTTCTAGCAATCTAATTGGAATGATCTCAGCTTCAATCCTGAGCCACACGTCTTTACATTATTTTACACCGACTTTGGATTTTGACTTGTGTGGACAAGAAACATATTAAATTATTCCGTCAATGTTTCTCGATGCCAACAACTTCTAACGACGAGAATTATCCAATCTGACTATGCACTTTCAACGCGGTTTAAGATCCACGGAGCAATCAGTCTAGAACCTAGAACTAGGTTCCAAAGCTCAATGTCGAACAAATTTGACTGGTTCCGCAACACTGATCTTCTTATAATATACCAATTTACCCCGAAATTTACAGCCAATGATGATTTTAATTCCTAGCATCCAGTGCAGATCCTCGTCACAAAAATTTAAATTATTCCGGTAGAGCTCGAAAAGAATATTATATCCTAATGAAGATTACAGTACACGAAAAGATGGGGTTCGCACGGAGGACGCCGTTGGGACTACTGTCGGGACAGCAAGTCGACGGCATGGACTGACTCCAGGCCTCGATCCTCGATCGACGATGGATCGCAATTGGGACACACAGAGCTCCTCCCTCCGGTCCGGTGCAGAAGGTTCGTCAGACCCCTCTGCTCAGGGCGTACCAGAGCACGCTGACTGCAAAACGTGCTGAGGAGAAAGTCCAAAACGAGCGATCCTCTCCGTTACAGATCCTCTCCGTAACGCGGAGACGAGGAAAAATGTCAACCGAGCTCGAGCTCGAGCGTACGCGTGGGAATGTTGGCAGTGCAGGAATGCCGGAGTCTCCCCGAGTCGCGACCTGCAGCAGCTTCCATGAACCTCGTCTACACTTGTCCTGCAGCGTACTTTGTGATCTCTCTCTCTCTCTCTCTCTGCGAGGCTTGCGTCTCAAGAAACTCTGGGGGACTTTTTCCGCAGCCTGCCTTGGGTCTCCTTCGGCTTCAGGGGTACGATCTCTCGGTACCCCTTTGGAGCGTCCAGCTAATTTGATTCGTCGAGATCCTCCTCCAGCGGCCTGAATCTCTGGTCGGGGAAGTGAATAAGAACCGCTCCGCGCTCTAATATACGGCAACACGGACAAGTACAGATTCCATGGAAGCACCAGCTTTGCATGGACATGCTTCACTGGAACGCGGTTCTGCAAGTGGGAAAGAGCACCATCGATCTGAAATACCATTGAACTGATTGCATTTTTTTGGGGTGCCATTCCCTTTGTATAACCATAATCTAGAGCACAATTAATTATTCGCGAAGAGGTAACACTAGTTGGCCAAATTGTCCCAGTAGCCGAAGAAAGGGTTTGGAGACTTATAGATCTATGGGCAAGTTGGGCAGTTAGTAAGGACACTTGGGTTTAAGAGCCTAAGCATGGGGTCATACTACTCACACATGTTTGGCTCTTGGACATACGGAAATTACTATGGGGAAATAAAATAGACGTGAAATTAGATATTTTTTCTATTTTTTAATAGAAATCCATTCTAGCGAGCATGGCTTCAACCATGTATCACTATAAAGAATCACGAAATAAATGAGAAATATTGCCTAAACGATATTATTCGAACAATTGAAGTATGCATTTGTAAAAATCTTTTCTATTTTTGGAGTACATATTGGCGAACGTGGTTTTAACAAAGGATAGCTACTTGACTAATGTTTATCAACAATAGGTAGAAGAGGTTCTAAAACATCGATAGATGTTCATCAAGATATTTGAATTGTGCTTTGAAGGGTGTTTGCACAAGTATGTGATGATGAGTGTATATCCATCCTCTAGATAGATTTTTGTGTCTTATCTCAGTGACAACAATATACTTATTTTAACACAAATTTAGCAAAAGATGTCACACGGAGCACATTTGTTAGTAGCATTTCGTATTAGTCTGACTGACAAGACATGAATCTTGCATCTACATATAAGAAAGAAAAGTGTAAGACAGGAGATCTTTGTTGGAGATATTGCTAAATATCACTGTGTGTATGCAGGGCTATTATAGAGTTATAGAAGAGATATTTACCTTGAGAGTATGTAGTATCCTCTTGTTTCCCTTCCACTTGGTTCCAACAAAGCTAATTATGATATTCCTACCCTTCTTCGTGCGTGCAGCCAAATCTGAGTGGTGTGTACTTAGGCACCAGGGGCCATATGGTTTCAGGAAATGACACGTCAACATTACAGGGTAGATATTGCCAAGCAACGTCATTTTCACCTTCCAATATTCTATATTCTCAGTGAGGAGTGCCACCTTTTCTTTCTGTCTAGAGTTGTGACTATGCTGTGAGATCAGTCAAAGCCCTAGCAAATGTTTGTCCTGCTGACGTACATTGCACCAGCCAATCCTCAACTTGCGAATTGGAAAGCATTTGGTTTGTACAATGAGATGACTTCATGCTTTCAAATATCTGGAATCTCTGGACAACTCTTTCATTTCTCAACGACAAGAAGATTCAAAGTAGCTTCCAAGACAATGCAATTTCTAATTTCTATTGCCACACTTTTTGCTATGTCTCCGATATCTAACAAGTCATCTTTTTAAAATGCAATTCTTTCATTTAGTGACGATCGCAAGGCTTTAAAGGACAGCTAGGGTTCAGGTATGATGACACGTAAGTATTAATATGAGTATTCGTGCCAAATATGGCGTACTGTGGACACAATTTTCTCCCATCACCTTAAGGAAATAGATCACCTAAACTCAATTCTCGCATTGTGATGTTACTCAGGGTGTTATTAAGCTAGCCGTAATGCAGAAATCTCCACACGAAAGTCAATTATAAAATGGAAGAGTGCGAAGATTGAATAATATTACACTTTTTACTCCATTATAAGCATAAAGAGCAGCATTTAAAATTGATATAGATAACACATCTTTTATATCCATGTAACCACCACATTTCTTTTATATATATTAGTAGAGGTGAGAACGGTTTTTTTCACAATTCTTTTGTGGAAGGAAAACAATTTCGAAAGAGAAGTGAGACAGAAATTCTTTTTACATTCGTCATGCAAATGGCGGTACTTTTCCGCGGAAAAGACCGGGCTGTGCATCGAGCACTTAGTCCTCCGTTAAACGTCTCTAAATCCCTGCCTGCGATGACCTCAGCGCATTCCCGTTGGATAATATATGGTTCCAGGTTAATTTTTAACTCATAATAATTATTTTCTTTTTTTGGAGTTTTTACTAACCCATTGGTACTTCAATTTGTTGATTTTAAAGCATCCGCCTAGCTGAACATTTCTTCATCTAGAAAATATTCTCGAAGTGACAGAATGACGGATTTGAAAAAATAAACCTATCCGATCCCGAAGAATTCGTTTCCCAATAAATAATCTCGGCGTTAGAGTCGGAAAATTTATTTTTTTCTCTCAATAACTCTACCACTACCTCCTGAAGTAACTTGAAGACAAGTTTCTTTCGAAGTTGCTATTTGTCCGCAGTTGGTCAGTCAGTCGGGTTCGCGTCCGCTGAGACCGAAGCAGAAGAGAACTGAAGTCCGTCGTCCGTCGTCCAAGTCTTGCGGAATTACCGTCTTCGGTCGGTCGAGCCCTGCTACTAGGGATGCTCACGGCTCGGCTAACGGCTAGCCGGAACGCTATCCGAGACCGAAAGCGATTCGAAAACTCGGACCGACTCTTAGTTTTCGACCGATTATTTCGGCTGATTCATACGAAATTAGACCCCGAATACTTATTCGACCGAATAATTCAGCCGAAATGCGTTTTCGGCCGATAGCCGTGGGCTAATCCGCTAATTGACCGGCTGATCGGCTAAATTTGAGTCTCTAGCCGGCAACGTGACCATGTCTACCTGCTACTGCTGCTGATGCTGCACAGCCCGGACAGAAGCACCTGTGCTGCATGAGAGGCCCACAGATTCACTGCCATCTGAAGATGCTTCATGAGGAGCACCGAGGCTCAGCACCGATTGAAAGACACATCTCTTCGAAAATTACTTGAGCATGTCTGGCAGTCTATGTGAGAGATGGAAACCGAATAGCGAACTCTCAGTGGCCCGCTTTGGACGAGGATTGATTCAATTGCAGATATGATGATTTTGGAAATGAATAGAAAGTTTGGGTGATTTCCATTTCACCATGTTTCACGCCTGGCGATCCGATCGTTCATCATGTGTTCTCGTCCTTCTATGATGAGGTGAGAAGAATTGCAATGTCGTTACTTGAACAGTTTCGGGCGACTAGAAAGCGCCTGGAGACCGAGACCAGGTCGCCCTGGCCACAGGCAGGACGAATGAGCGAGGAGCAATTGATTCTCTATCATCGGGTGAAACACCTGCCGAAGGAATGATGCCCACGTTCGCCCTCTCGCATGCCAAGGCGAGGCTACGTAGCCAGCTAGCTAGCTCACTGGCCAGGCCAGGCCATGCCATGGCAGCCGAGCCTGCTCTTCTTTTGTGCGGGTGCAGCAAGTTGAGCATAATCCAAGAGAAAATCAACACCAGACCACCGCCCGGCCTCCGATTTGCAGAGGCTCGTCCGATCGAACAAAAAAGAGACACATTCCTGTGAATCTGCTGCACCGGAATATCGTCACTCGTCTCGATGAATTTCATGAGGTTGACTTGCGAGTCTCGAGCGACCTCGGCAGCTGGAGCTGAAGGCGATGGTGGCAGTGGGCGGCACGAATTCTCTTCCTCTCGGTCTAGATCCGAGGTAGTAGTAGCGCATGGTGAGATCAGACTCGCGTTCAGACTGACTGAGCTCGCCACAACCTCGGTCGGAGTGTGCAGTCTGTACTTCCACAATGTCCATGGATAGCAGCAGAGCCCTAGGCGTACTAGGCCCCAGTGACCCACGCCCTGGGTCGAGACTCGGTCGTCGATTCCAGCATGGCAAACATGAACACAAAACCTTTATAGCAGCAGCAGCAGCAGCATGGAAAGATCCATTCGAGGCCATGACGATGATGATGATGATGATTGAAATAGATCCGTCATCTGATTCTTCCACTGCGAGGCTTTCTTTCTACCTCTGGAGTTTTTCTCTCTCTGCAAAAATCAGGTCCAGCATTGCTTGCTGGATCTGAACCATCTCCGACCTTTACCAGGACACGAGTCTCCATCCACAACGATTCTGGGCTGCTCCATGGCATGAAAGCACGAAGCTACTGACTCGGTTGTCATTGGATAAAAGCCATGACCTTGCAGAACTGAAAGTGTATTGGATTGCATTTAATTGGCTTGAATCGAATCTAACCCGCCGGCTGCACAGAACAGGAGCCATTATCCTGTGCAGGCTTCTCGAGTTTGAGTTTGAGTTTAAATTGAAGCCTATCTCTCACCAACCAACCAACCGGAGATGCATGCTGCTGGAGCGACATGAACATGCTCGGAGAAGCTTGTCCTCTCGATTTCTCTTTTGCATGACCAACTTTCGTGTATGCGATAAACCTACCACCTGAAAGGAGTAAGAGGTGAAAGTTCATAAAGGCTATGTCGCCTGGAAAACGCTGGGCCTGGCTTAGCACCATCGTTCTAGTTTTGAAACCCTGTGCACGTCATGTTCCCAGAGCCCATAGACCAGAGTTAAGGCCAGAGTTAAACTCGAGAGTGAATACCAGGATTACCTCTCGATCCGAGCCCCAGAGATTCATCGACTCTGATCAGGTTGTGCATGATCGAGAGCAGCAACATGAGCCTCACGTTCACAATCCTCTGCTCTGCTCTGCTCTGGGCTGAGCTGAACAGGACAGGAGCGAGGATTGCTTCCTCACCCGTAGCAGCAAATCCAGAGCCATAGTAAAAAAGGAGCTAAGCCGAGCTCTCTGGCACGGAGGAATTCCCAGGAATGAGGAAGGGAGGAAGTTCCGCGACCCGACGAGCTTGATAAGCGAGAGCGCAGACTATGAGACCAACCAGGTGTGGAGATGGTTCGATTTGACCGTCTGACTGCACCTACAAGCCACGTCTCTGGGCAGGCAAGACTTGTAAATGTTCCCCTCTGGTAGAGCAGGGGTGGGGAGCATAACCCAGCAACTTCTTCCCGCCTGCTTTCCCATGATTGCAATCAAAAGCATTTTGACCATGCTACCTTCGAAAGTCAGAGCTGGACTCGTGATGAGAGATGGGGCTGTTACAGAGAGAGAGATAGACGACTGGAAAGACGTGTTCAGAGGAGGATATGCAGTAAATCTCTCTCTTTTGACCACGATTCTCCATGTAGAGTAGAGGGGGTAGAGGTGACACGAACATGTGGAACAGCGTATGTTGTTCTTCTCCCTCGCGTCATTATCCACCAATATCTAAAGACTTTCGAGCCTCAAATGTATTCTTGCTGTACCTTGTCCAAGAGCTCGTGCAGCGCATTTTCCTTGCCAGTGAAAAGTGCAGTACTTCTCGCTTGACTCCACTTCTGCGCATTCAAGACTTCCGAGTTTGTTTTTTTCATCCACACATCGCCATCTCCATCCCGAACCAGACCGAAACAGAGCCAGGGCCAAAGCCTCGCTTCAGCACCTGGACAATGATAGAGTTCCTGAACTAGCATGAACACGTGATCACAATTGTGTAAACCGTACGTTTACAACCACCCTAAGAAGAGTTACGATCATCCAGAACAACTTCGTGGCTTTATACGGTGTGAGCTGACTTGATGTCATCACTGGTGTGCAATAGAGAACGTTTTCCAAACTAGAGCGGCGGACGAGGAACATGAATGCATGAAAATGGAAATTCGAGGACAAAGGGACTGAATTATTCATCTTTCTTATCAACAGAAAAATTGTTTTCTTGCTCGCCTTCTACATGAGCTGATCTTGGACCTGACTGTTATAGCTGCCGTCTTTTGGAATATATTCTGGTGAGCGTGATTCATTGCTCTGTCTTTCACAAGTCGTCCACCAGATTGTAACAGTTTAACCTCCAAGCCTCTGCAATCTTCAGTAACGTCAAAGCTGGAGTAAGTGTGATGTATCTCCTTGAGATCAAAGATTCTCGTAGAGCTTGTGATTGTGTGTAGTACTTCCTATGCTCTGATTGGATGTGACGTCCTCGTGTCATTGGGTCGAGAAGCTGTGGGGAGAGTGACCCAAGCTATCATCTGGATTGCATTCATGGTGCGCTTGGTGCAAGTTATAATTAAAAAGTACATGAAGGATCAAACCTTCACATAATCATCTCTATTTTCACCCGCCAATATGAGCTAAAAGCGAAGGACGATCAGTTGACCTTTCCGTTCTGATCAGCATGCACTTCTCGTGGATCAGATCAGGTTCTGAGATAAGATCTCCCCATGTAAACAATTCACCTATCAGCCAAGCTGAGTAGGATGACTCTAAAAGATCTTCGAGTGCTACAACTGCTCTCCAAATATAAAGCTGCATGGGAAGCCATGACGAATAAGTGTTTTGGAAAACTAAAGACCCAACGATCCACGGCGGCCCCTTCACTTCATTCTCAACTACCTGAATCATGTAGAGCATTCAAATCCAACGACATGTTCCATCCACAACTGGCTCATACTGATGTTTCTCTTGATTGCAATTTTGGTCCCCGTGTAATGACTCGTCATAAACCTCGCCCACACTATTCAGCTCACATCCTCCGATCTGTAATGATGAAATCAAACCTGAAAAGCGAGTGTAAATCCATCCGTTACAATCTTCATCGAAACATCACCAAATTTGTGCGGAGAATCTCACTGAACGAGAGACGCTTTTCACTTTCGAACAGCCTCCCTCTACATCTCGACTTATTCAGAATCTGTTCCAACATGCGCCGCTCAGGCAGGGCGGTGTCCTGGCACCCTGTGGGATCTGGTCTTCAGGATATAGGAGGCAAATGCTCACAGTTCATCCAAAATACCGAACAAGACAACATCTGCAAAACTATGCTGATCATTCACAAAATGTAGCTTTCACCTCTTGTCAATCAGGAACGGAACAGAAGGAAGTAAAAATAGGGCAACGTCACAGAGGTCCTCTACTCACATCTAGAGGAGTTTATAAATTGATCTTTGGTCACTTACAAATGCCAAATGATTTCTCGACCAGATATGTCGACTGAAAACTACAAATCATCCGAAGAAGTCATATCTTTTACACAAGGCAGAGCGTAGCTTCTGTACAGAAGCTGCATTGCACAAATGCCTCAATCAGTGTCACAAGCTCAGCAGAACCCCTTGACAGGTAGCAAAGCCACTACAAGCAGCTCAGATCTGAGGATGTTTGCACCAAAAGACTAACAGATCTTCACAAGCAAACTTGATGAAATACCTATACAATGGGAGATATATACAGATAAAGCTGCCTGCTTCTATGACCCCCAGATATTAAAACAATGAGTTTTGCGTATTTCTTACATCTACCCTAGATTTTACATTGACTGATAACCTCTCACCTGCCTTCCACCAGTGTATTCACAAGCAATTGGAGGAAAAGCACTGAATGTGGATCAGCTTGTATCTTGATATAACTATGGAGAGTGAAAAAAATGCTCCAGAGTCTGGAGAAAGTCTGGAAATCCTGTGATGAAAATTGCACTCACAGAGCAGTGAACAGATAATGTCGCATTCTGCGCAGCCTACAAAGAGGCGGACAGAATTTCATGTAGCTACTTCCAGACTTTGATAGATCCATCTCGGCTGCTTGAGATCAGGAACCTTTGATTCGCTTGTGCGAAAGCTAACGAACTGATACAATCTCGGTGACATCCAACAACATCAAGGGCAGCAGCAGCTAGGCCAGTTCTTGGAGGAGATTTGTTCCCCTGATTTTGACTCTTGCTATTGTCCACTCTAGGAACGATAGACTCCTGTGACCCAGAAAACATGTGTAAGCGTCAGGCCACAAGATATAGACAAACATAATCTTCCTGATTCAATCAAGCTCCGAAGGGCACACAGCAGAAACCCAAAGACATGCTTCTCTGAAAATGCCATGCCCACTGCATTTAGGATGCGTTGTAAATATCGGTAACAAACCTGAATAATGCGAACATTAGAGAGTGACCTCGTTTCGTACACAACTTGTTCCGGACAATAAGCTTTTGTCGTTGGTCCGCAAACAGTGTAACTTCGTTCCGGCCTGTCATGATGAGAAAAGCAAGTTTCAGAGATCACTAAGACAAACCCGGTAGATCAGGGCAACAGATAAGGTCAATCATTCCAACAAGGACCCAATCTGCAGCAATAATGACTGCTGTGAAATGATTCTCTGTAGGTGTAGGTGATGACAACATCAGCCAAGTATGGAACCACGCCCCCAAATGCCCTACACTATGAAGCAATGATCACAGCTCTTTAGCGATTCTCCGACACGAGATAGACAACATTGTCATGAAGGAACATATATCAGAAGCGCAGTGTTGACATGGAAAGAGATATTAACCTCAAGCGATCCCACATTCTGATTCGACAGTCTGAGCCTGCAGACAATAAGCCTGTCCCTCCAGCTAAAGGGAACAAAGCTCGCACGCCACGTAGCCTTTGAGGCGGATCATTAAGCTCATCCATTCTGTAGTTGTTCAACTTCAGATTGTTCATCTGAGAACCGGTCCCGGATGTGCTACTTCCAGGCCTTGAATTGGAAAGCCGTGGCGAAAGCGCAGCTGGGATTGCAGGTGGAGGTGGTTCGATATCCGGATCTTGTCCCAATCTCATAACCTTCGCATCACAAAAGAAAAATTATTAAAAGGTGGCGACTTGTTCTGAATAAACTATGATCACCCGGTTCTCCAACCTCAGGCAAACCACTAGCGAAGAAAACACTGTGGACATAAAATCGGATAAGTCGTCATGAGTCAACACCTGGAAGTTTGATTCTTTCAAAATATACACATCACGCAAGAACAGGACCGACGTGTTTCATCAGACAGATAAAGTAAGGCACCTGATACATGTCTTGCTCAAATCCAGAAAGTAGCAAGTCCCACAAGAGTTAAACTTATAAACTCATGAATCTGTGTGGCAAAGTCACCTGATGGCAGCTTCCATCTTCCGCGTTCCATAAGGCAATTTCATCTTGGCCCGCAGCCACATATATGAAAGGTCGAGCTAAGGACGGTTGCTTATCTGGATGAGCTGTAGGAAGGAGAGGGCACATACTCTCGACACGACAACTCAACGGATGTTGCCAAGTATTGACAGGTAACTGAAACCGCAAGTCCCACAGAGTCAAAATGCCCCTGGATGTCCCGGAAACTATCCAGTTACCGTTAGGATCCAGGGCTGTGGACGTTATATAGCCCTCTACTGGCTTTCCTTTGAGAACCCAAGCTTCGGATTGAGCTCGTAAATCGCAAAGATGAATTCCATTCCGCTGTGTACTGTACAGCACATGTGACGGCCCCTTCGACGTCAAAGTGTGAAGAGAAAGAACTGCACCCTCGTCACTCTCCAGCTTGCAGATCTCTGTGAAGCCGGTGTAACGTTCATTACTACCACTCAACTTCGCCACATAATCCACGTTCAGAGAGTGAATCTTCCCAGTGCTGGAAGCTGCGACTACTTCATGCCGAGACGTAAGCATCGACACGCAAAGCACAGAGACTTTTGAACCGAAGGAGTAGGTCAGGCGTGAGCGGAATGAGATATCACGCTCCAGGCGACGGCAGTCCCAGACTTTGACGGTCCCGTCATCTGATCCGCTCACAAAAAAAGTACTGTCATGGGCCACTGCAATCTCGTTTACGGCGCGCTGATGCTCCTGTAAGTTTGCTATCAGGACACCCTTCGGCTTCCAGTTGCCCTCCATAGCAGATTCACCTAAGTGGATAGATCCCAACATGGCCGTGACAGAATCCACTGTAGGATAAATTTCAATAACTGGTTCCAAGCCCGGAGAAGCCTCCATACCAACTTGGGCTGAACTTGCCATGCTTGATCTGCTATTCACTGCTCCTTGGTTCGAGAGAGCAGGATCCGTGAATTTCCCGTCTTTGAAGACTTCATGGGCTCTTCGTGGACCCGTTGCAGAGCCCCCGTGATAGAAGGATCCAGCCATAAATCTTGGTGCGACAGAAACCGCAGCCATCGACCTCTGCATGGGCTCTCCTGGAGGCATAGCTGAATGTGCTCCGATTGTGGCCCACTGTGAAGAAGCTGGACCGATGGAGTTACCAACAGGAGCCATTAAAAAAGGAGCCCCACTTTGGCGTCCACCGACTCTGTTCCAGTCTTCGTTGTAAGACGAAGCAACGTTGGCTTGGTTACTGACATTGTCTTCGGCCTTCTTCTGTACTACTGGTAAAGAGTACAAAGGGATTCCCTCTAAAGTGCCATCATAGTGGGAGTAATAACCGGCTCCCACACCTGGCGGAAGTCCAACTGCAGAATTCTCTAGCTTCTCAGTGTGCTCTGCCTCATGGCTCAATCGAGATTTCATGGTGCTTGACAGATTGCGCAAGTATCCTTCCATTGCCTTCATCTTCTCTCCATCTTCGTTGTCAACGTCATTGGCTCTGGGCGAAGCAGGTGTAGCTGCTGTTTTCCTCCCAGAAGAACTCTTCGGTCGACCTTCAGCCGCTTCTCCTGCACTGCTAGAATCTCTCTCTACCTTCCGCCTTTCTGTGAAGTTGTTGCGAGGTTGAGAAGATTGTAAATCCGGTGGTGGCTGAATCGACGCTAGCCTTTGGCGCACTTTTGCTTTCGTCTTCCCTGGTTCTGCGACCGGTCCTGATTGCAACGCGTTACTTACAGCGCGTTTCAGAACCTCCCTTGATACAGGTGGCTTGAGGCATAACAAAATTGAACTTTCCGATCGCAGAGAAGCTGGCTCTCGACGCAAAAGAGGGAAGAGAATTGGAGTCAGGAAGGCATGGGAGTCAACCACGTCAAGACTGGCACTGGATGCAGCGACGAAGGTAACGGCTGCTCTTCTTACCCACTGGCTAGGATGGCAAAGAAGGAAACAGGCACGTTCCACCACAACAAGAAGAATCCTCTTTCTAAGAAGCTTGTGCTTACACAAAGCTGCTAAACATTCCAAAGCATTTACAATTACGGTTTCTTCCACATCATTGAGGGCCTGCTCGAGGAGAGGAAGCAGGAGTCTCTCAACACTTGCTTGACCGACGAAAAGGCATACGTGTACAATGTACTCAAAGAAAACTGCACGCAACTGCTCATCGCGGTCATTCAGAAAAGCAGGCAAAAAAGGCATAAGAACATCATTGGTCTGTTTTGGACCAAAAAACTGGCACAAGGATCCAATGTGCTTCAGCAACGCTCTGCGTATGGTTGGAGTCTGCTTCTGTCCGATGACTAGCTTCTCAATGATCTTCTCCACTATCCCTCTTAGTTCAGAAAGCTCTGTATCAGAACGCTTAACACTTAGACCTGCTCCAATCTGAGGCCGCCGAGGGCTATCGAGAACCTCCCCAGCCTCGGCCATCTGTTGTGACTTCACAAGAAAGCGATAGGACGCTTTCGCGATTTTGTGTATGTTGTTTGCATAAGCAATCCTAATGCTTTCCTCTGCATCCTCCGTTAGCTTTGACAGCAGTGGAAAAATCCATTCCGGAAAAATCTTTGCGTCGCTCGATGGGAAGTTCTTGATCAACGAGAGCACGTAGCACATGGTTTGCAACGCTGCACATCGCACCAAGGCAGGGGCATCTGATAGGAGTGACACGACGTACGGTAAAATGTGCTGCAGCCGAGTATCATCATCACAGAAGCGAGAAGCATCATGAAGCATTTGAATGCATAGTCTGCGAGACTGGTCTTTTTTAACATTTCTTAAGCAAGCACACAGCAGTGAAGCCATCAGCACCATTCCTTCGCACTTGACTTCTTGCCGGACGGGGGCCTCTCCCTTCGCTGCACCTGTTCAGAAAACAGCATCACATGCTGATGGCGTCAACCTAGAATATCTCTAATATCCAAGTTCTTCGAATGATCTCATAGGGCATTAGGATGTGAAAATAATGACTGCAAGAAACGAAAAAGTAGAACTCTTTTGAAGTGGACAAATTTAAGCATATATAACTTGATAACACACCATCTCTACTCCGATTTGTGAAGCTTCACAGATCGGAATAATAACCCAGTGATACATTCTAGAACTTGTCACAAAATCCTCACCTTTGAGAGAAGTTAAGGCTGTTTTCTGTCGGCTTGGCGTGCTAGGAATCTCTGCTTCTTCTATTTCTTCACTCGAAAAGACCCCTGAAAGTACTTGGTCCGATTCCCACTTGCTGTTTAAAGTCTGCGGCAAAAAAAGTTAGATCTCATAAATGTCCGTCAAAGTCAGATTATTACAATCGAAGAGGGAAGCAGCAAATATTCTGATGGAAGAAATCATCATGTGCAGCTATATTTGATAAAAAGCTTACTGAACCAGCCCTTCCAGATAATAATAATCTCTCTACCTCTTCATCAAGTTCCATCGCTGGATTTTCTTTCTGAGACATAGCAATAACTGCTGGTTTGATACGATGCAGAACTCCATCAGCAATGAATTTCGTTGAAGAAATCCTTTTCACTTTTCTACCATGGCCAACCACCGATTCTTCGTCCAGTTTTGATTGATCTTTATCAGCAACATCGCTCTCAACGTCTTGCGATACATCCTGGTCTTGAACTGAACATTTTGCGTCGTTTCTATACTTCATTTCTTCTTCTATCATACGAGTGCGGAACTGAGGGAAAAACTTCTCGGTGACTGCAACCTACATAACCAGACTAGCTTCGTAAGAAAGACCAGCCAGAGATCAGCAAAAAGACTTCACCGGAGAACATAGACCTGTCTCCACAACCCAGAATCTCAGCGTGAAAATGTTCGGTAGTTGCATGCATCATTGCAGACTCGATACAAAAACTCTTCGGTAATTATGGACCTAAATGAAACCATTCACAGAATAACTCACTCTAGTATCCGGGTCCAAATTTATCAGGACCGAAAAAAATTGGTGAAGATTAGGGAAGAAGTAGGAGGGAAACACTTCAGGAGCCCATGTTTTCAAATATTCTGTTGATGTTGCTCTGGCGTCTGGACTCAGTTGTAACATATGTTCAACCATGGCTCTTATTTTCTCGTCTGGAATCTGCAGACAAAGGAGCTCCAGATATTCATTTGAACCAGATAAGAGGAGAAGCAACCAATGAAAAACACTAAATATCAAAAGCGTATAATCATGCCTAAAAAAAATACAGACATATGAAGAGATGAAGATGTAGATATCTATGATAAACAATGGCCTTTGAAAAGTCAGCAGTCCAGCTGCAAGAACTACATTGACATAGTGACAATTCTCGGAAATTTGGAGTGGAAACTAGGTTTGCGTATAGTGGTCCACGCTAAAAAGAACGACAACACCTTGGGTAACTGATCAAGAGGTACAAAGATGACCTGAGATGACGCAGAAAGGAGGGAAAGGCAAAAAGAACAACAGATGTGTTGACATCCACTGAAATTTATTCCAATTTATCCAATTTATTCCACCAGTAAAATAAGTTTTTCAGCCTTGCGAGAAGCAGAAGAAACTAACCTTATCCAGAGACGGTTTGATATCAAACTGTCCTTTCCGATATGCCAGCAGTTGAGATAAATCGAAAACAGTTTGCCCCTCAAGGAAGAGTTCAGCTATAACACAACTGGTATTTAACAGAAAGACAAGCGTTTAGTTCTGGTTCAGAGTAGATACTTTAGGGCCAAACACAACTGGCACAATCCTTTGGACGTGATGAGAACTTTCTTGAACTTGACACACACTCACTAGAAAATATGCCTCAAATGTTAAGGCTAAGAATTGGGGCCGTTCGTACAGCATCACAACACTCATGGTATTATCGACTAACTCCTTAGAGTCCATTGAAAGAGTTTCTCACCCTAACGAAAATATGTCCATGGCTGGCTTCAGTGGTGAGTCCGGGTTAACAGGGGGGCCTTTAGGGTCGTAAAACCTCTGCGAAATGAGATGTAAGGTATCATCAGATATGACTGGCAAATGCACAAAAAAATGACTTAACACATGACGGTTAATGCAAAGATGCTGAGAGGTCTGGTGAGTACTTTACCTCAGGAGCAAGGTAACACCTACGCCATCCACCGGTGTCGAAAAAAAATGAAAAGTCTATGGGATTATCATAAGGAAGATAGGTGGGCTTGAACGATGCAAAGTCCGCAAGATACACCCAGTTCCAGGACGTAACAAGCACGTTCTCGCATTTCAAGTCGCCTGAATATCAAAGAATTCATGTCCTTAGTGTTTGAGGTAGTCAGGATATTGGAAGCAAAAAATTTAAAACAATAAAAGAACAGAAGGTGAAGAAAAGCATCAAACGTAGAGACGATTGAGAAGAAATTGGCCACATCCAGTAAAAAACAAAGGCTCAACAGAGAATATTACCATGGCATATACCAAGCTCATGGCATTGCCTCATAGCAACCAGCAGCTGCAAATCCATGAAAGTGAAGATAAGTTTATAATCTGCAGACTACTTCAGGTGTTCCTTGTGAGAAGTATCAAAACTGCTGTAGTCTCCAGAATACAACACCTGCTCGAATAATAGCATTATTTATATGCTACCCAGCTTCACACTTGATCGGAGCAAGAAGATTTCTAAGTTACTATACGCATCGGATAATTTGCCAATAAACTGCAAGACAAGGAACTCATCCGCTACGAGGAGCATCAGACCTGAAATGCAATCCACCTTTTCTCCATAAGAGAAAGAAAAGGTCGTGTACTGATACGATCGTGAAGATTGCTGAAAAAGTACTGCCTAAGCAGATAAGCAGCTTTGTCCGTCTCAATCCAGCTCTAATCGGCCATAAGCGGCAGAGTACAAACAGTTCAGTAGTTACTCATAGGTGAGAGATATATACATCCTCCAGCTTTACCAACATCAATCGCATGCCTTCGTTAAGAGAGTCTCATCAGCAATATAACAAGGATCGACCACTCATCAAACTCAAGGCTTAAGCTAAGCTGATGAAGAGCTCAGTTACAGAAAGAAACTCTGGATCTGAAACCTGAAGTCAATAAGTTGTATGTACATAAGATTGATATTTTCTTCTATACAAAAATAAGAAAACGTACTTCAGATAATGCCTTGATTCAAACTCACCTGAAACGGCCAGAGATGTGAGTCTTTTACATCTTTGAGTCGCGTCTTGATGTACTCCAACTTGGCAGCGTGTTCCTGTTCGCTCCAACCCACGGTAAAATTCAATCGCCAAATTTTTCGAGCACAAGAATTTTTGACTTAATCTTTGGAAGTGAACCCATTCACGCAGTGGTGTTTTCAAATTACGTTGCTCTGTGGAAAGAACACAAGCTCCTCTCGAGCACTATTCACTATGACAACCCTATGACTGCTTCTTGCAATTCACAAACACTGACCGAGTCATAACATTGTGCACTGCCGAGTATCTCACATATACAACCTACCCACCTTGAATTCTCCTCCAACTTCCCCACGTTTGAAATAAATTTTGACGACAAGCACCCCTTCGTCGTGACGGCATTGTACAGATTTGAATAAGCGCTCTCCCCCCAAAACCTCCATTAACACCAAGTTGTATGTTGACGGCAAGTCGCTCAAGTAAAACTCGTTGGGGTCCAACTGAGCGGTGCGAGCTAATTTGTTCCCCATCTTCTACCTCCTCTTCTAACAACATAAACCTTGGCTTTGTTCTGGCAGCAGGCACCGTCTACGGAGCGCTTTCCTACAATCTGTCCCACGACTCATGCGGAGGGTTGCGCCTGTCGTTCGAGCTCTTCTTCTGCATCCAAAATCTGTCCAGCCGATTCGAACGGCCTTGTAAACCCTTTCCTCGGAGAAAAGTAGCTGCGAAATCTGGAAAAATGTGCAATTCCCCTCTCCACACTCCAACCCCACCGGAGTCATGAACGCATCCCGATTTCAGCCTCTCTCCAATCCTCTGTTCCCGCCTGCGAATTGCACCCATCGACCGAAATCCTTGCCGTGTGGCCGCGTTCCATCGTCAACCCTGAACACAATTCACATTTCCGGTCCTCCCTCTACTTGTACAACTGCAATTCGCCCTCACTCCTCGCCTCCCAATCGAGTGACACCAACACTCCCGTCTTCTAACTGTGGTTAAAATTCAGAGTCCCGTCGCAAACTCTACTCGTGCTACCGCCTCGCAAGCTGAAACTCCGCTGATACTCGGTGTGCGACAAACGGCCAAATCCAAATCGGAGAACGGGAGGGGAGGGCAGGGAAGAGAGAGCAGGCAGCAAATGCGGAAGGGAATTGTACTGTACAGACATTACAAGACAGAGGGACAATGGTTGAGGTTCGGTCGGTGACGATGACAGGCAGACCCTCATCCGCACGGAAGAAGGTTGAGTGAAGCCTCGGGATTTATGCCTTTGCCTCCCCCCACCGCGCTGCACAACGAGCACAGATTCCCGGAATGCTAATTCTCTGTCCTCTCCTTCCTTCCTTCCTTCCCTCCCTCCCTCCCTCGTCCCGTCCCCTCCCCTGCCTTCCCCTTCCCCTTCCCCCCCTTCCTTCCTCTCCCCTGTCTTGCCTCTCACTCTACTGCGTCTCGTCTTTTCTTCACCGCCTGCCTTCCCTCCCGGATAAATCTTCTCGGCTTCACCCACCTTTACCCTACCCGGGCCTACTTTTATTTTCCCCGCCACCATAAATTGCCCTTGTTCGGGGTGGGAGACCGCTTTCCACCGGTGTTCTCGCCTTATTTATTTCATGTTTTTCGGGGCGTTGGCTTTTTTTACCCGCTACTTTTCCTGTCACCACTCATGATTTCAGATTCCGCTTATTCATTCATATGTGTGCCTATTATGCCATTGTATATTTTGGAAAGTTCGGCTTATACATACTGTATATTCGCAACTTCCCCTTAGCGATCCATGTATCAAACATCTGATACGAGATAATGAGTCTTCTGCTTTGAATTAACATTTCATACGTAATAAACATGATGTATATAGTATAGATAAGAAAAATAATTCATGAGATGTGTATCTCATGTTTTCTCTTCAACCTAAAACACCACTTTGTTTAATTTGAAATCTAGATTTTTTATCATTTGTTCTATAACTTACTCTTATTAAACCTTATTTAAGATATCTTCAATACTCATGATAAAATTAATAGTAAATACATACTTTTAATTGTGGTTTGAATGTATTGTTTTTCAAAATTTATCAAATCACAATCAGTTCCTTAAAAAAGAATCAAAGTATGATTTGAAAGTTAAAGAATAATTTTTGTAAGAGTCAATATTTTCAAAACTATCTTCCAGAATTTTACAAAGAGTTTTTTTATAAATATCTTTGTTTACAGTTTTCAGATTTTTACTTAAAACCAGTTTTTTTATCAAATTTTCATCAAATTTTATCAAGTTATGCATTATCAACTAAAGAGTTTTAAATTCGTAATTGATATATTATTACTTCTCAAAGTCAAATTTTGCACTCAATTAGTATTCATGTAGCAAATGAATGCATCAATTACTCATAAAAATTGGTCATTTAACATTAGTCCTTTAAAAAAATTGCGCTTAATAATTTCCATTGTTATTATTAAAAAAATTAATAGTTTTCATATTTTTTTTCAATTTTCTTTCAAGTAAAATTTTTTTAATAAAATTATATAGTGATGATAATCAAATTTATGTATATATTAAATGTATTTACGTTAGATCACAAGTATAATGTTGTGGTTATTATATTTATCATAAATATCATTTTTCCCATTTTACACTAAAATATATTATCATCAATAAAATAATATTAGCCAGACATGTTCAAATTTTTCTATTAGATACTATGAATCATTTTTTATTATGAGAAATTTTTGTTTATAATTTTTACAATTGAAAAAATATTTGATATTCTTTCATTTTGAATTTTTTGATTTAATTATGATTAGAAATGTAATCAAAATTTGCATGCTGAAAATTCAATACATTTTGTTATCTTATATTTATAACTTATCATATCAATATATTCAATTTGCTTGAAAATTTAAATTAAATGATGAAAAATAATAATTGGATAAAACAATATTTAGAAACATTTTCTTAAAAAAATTTAACTTCTTAGATTCATGATGATTAAAAATATGAAAATAATATATAATGATGAATTAAAGTTTAAAATATTGATAAGTAACTCCGGTAAAATGATAAAATATTATTATATTTTTTTTAATATGATGAAAATTTTTTGTTATATCTCACTTTACTTAAATTCTATAATATATATATATTTCATAAAATCTAACTCTTTCTTAATGAAATAAATACTTATACAAAGATATTTTCAAATTTGCATAAGTTTTTTTAATTTTTTTATTTAAAAAATTCAAAATTTATATTAATTAATCTTGATCATGTTTATGTAATTTATTTGTACTTCAATTAATCTTGATAATTATCAATAATCTTTTAAATAAAATTTCATGTTGCAATATGTCAATGGTGTAAAGATTAACTTATGTTAAGAAGTAACATTCATCTGTAAAATCGATGTTACACATGTGTATTAAGTTGTAGAATTAACCAAGTGATTAATGATGATTAGCTAAATCTAATTAATTATGACAAAACAGTCATGATTAAATTTATCTCATCATGATTAAGTTTGATTATAATGTACATATCTGGCAAAATAATTAGCGGAGTTCTAGAAGATTGTAGTGAACACTTCTATTTTATCTTTTACAAAGGTCTAAATTACAAAGGATTAAATTTTTGACTATAGATTCGGATTTGATTGATTTGACTAATTTTATGAAAGATGATTGGCTAGACTAAATCTAATGTTGATTTATTGGTTAGGAAGCTTCTAGAAGTTATAAAGCTTCCAATGGCATGTCGTCACCTCAACCTCGTATTCCGGAAACTTCTAGAAGTTTCAACTAGGCCAATGACATGTTGTCACGTAAAGTGGATTGGTCAAACCTAGCTAGGTAAAAGTAAAATAGGAATATTTCCACATGTTACTATGATAATTTCACAAGTAGTATAAGTAGAGAGGTAGAGTAGCTACTCTCAAACAAGTTTGGAGAGTTCCTGTGTATAGACTTGTTTCATATATGAAAGACTGACAATTTTTAGTATCTTGGAGTTTTGATGTGTGTGTGAGTTTGAGTGATACATTCAAGATCGTGTGAGTGTGGGTTTGGGCTATGAATATAAAGAGTAATCATAACATCTAGAACCATGATGAGCTACCACAAAGCCATATATGAGGTAAACTTGAGTGAGAGACAGCACGGAGGTTGCATTTTTGGTTACGTTGGCAAGACCTCAATCTAGAAGGCGGAATGTTTAGGATTCAGTATCTAGTTCAAGAGAAAATGTCCATGAAAGATCACTTGGAGTAAAGGTTAGGGAGTGAAAGAGCAGAGAGTATGCTTGAGAGTGAAATTACATTTGTCTTTCCTGCGGTATCATATGATAGCCTAGAAGTGATTTTGTATGTTTTGTTCACGTACACACGTTATTTTGATAAAAAAATGATCTTAAATATCAAAAAAATATTTTTCAAAGGTTTTATTGATTGAAGAGTGGAAGATAATAAATTTTTTTATTTTTATTTCAGGTCTAGTTCATGTGTTAACGAAAAGACATGAATATTAGAAGTTGAGAGGTTTTTCATGGTTGCCAAAAGTTTGCTCTCAAGAAAGTTTGTACAGAGTAAATTACTTTTTGTGTCTTTCAAGTTAGACTTTGAAACTTCGTACGAATGTGTATTGGAAGATAAACTACGTGCGAGCTAAAATTTCACTGAGAGATTACATCTAGAGACAAAACTATGTTATTTCTAAATTTAGAGGGTACAAAATCAGGAGAAGAGAGCAAAGATTTTGAATCGAAGTACCCTAAACCCTAACCCGAAACCTAATCCTAACCCTTCATCTGAGTCTAAACCAACTGTACAGAGCCGCCAGCGTCTTTAAGAGCTTTAGATCCAAGATCTGAGGCTGAAAATTTGCAAGCATGCGTGGCGGATGAGACCAACGGCCCCACCAAATTTTAGCTCCATCCGACCGTCCATCGCAAAGATATGAGCCTCGCAAGATCTCTGAACCCTAAACCTACAACACTGAGCCGCCAGCGTCTTTAACAGCTTTAGATCCAAGATTTGAGGCTGAAAATTTGCAGGCATGCGCGGCCGGCTGAGAGCAACATCCGCTTCAAATTTCAGCTCCGTCCAACCGTTCAGAGTGGAGATATGAGCACCGCAAGATCTCTGATCCAAGGCCGAAATTCCTTCTTCAAAATCCGAGATCCGGGGTACCCACAGGCCGCTTGAATGTCTGGGTAACGGCCTGCTTCCCACGTGAGACTTCACGCCGGGCCGTTCTGCTTTCCACACTTGACATAATCCCACCAATTTCCGCCGTCGGGAATCTTCTTCCGCGTAACACCGAAGGCATACTGCCGAAGGTCCTTGCCTTGAAGGCCCTTGCGCTAAGGCACCCTTCCGCGTCTTTGCCTATCCATATCAGTCACTTTTGACACTCATAACTCAGTGATCCCTTATCCGTTCCAAGAGTTCTTGGGCTTGTTAGAACGAACGTGTCGAGTTCTTTCCAACAAAACCCTAAAGGTGTTACGAATTGAAAAAGTTCTGAGGGATTCACTCTTCCTCCGAAGGAACTCTTACGCCGAAGTCACTCTTCAAAATCTTGACTTCTTTGCAGTTTTTGCCAAACAGATAGCGTTTTTGGGAAAGTACTTTTGAGTGGTTTGCATATTATGGAAAAATGAAGGTTTTGTTATCCAAAGTGACTCAAGGCTTGGATGTTATAGTTTCTTTAGACTCTAATACAAAATAATTCAAGGTGAAATTTGAAGAAAAAGTAGTAGGTCAATCGCCAAGAGTCAAACATGAAACTTGTTTTTATTGTGGAGAGTAGGACTACTAACTCCGGGCTGACTCTCACTCAAGTTTACCTTAGATGGCTTTTCGGTAGCTCATCATGGTTCTAGAAGACTAGGATTCCGCATTATACTCAAAGCTCAAACACACTCTCACATAATCTCTCAAGGTATCACTCCAATTCACACACTCATCGACACTTTAAGATACTAAAAATTCATCACTTTTTCATATATGAAACAAGTCTCTATACATGAATTCTTTAAACTTGCTTGAGATTCTTTTCTCTGATTCTATATATATATGCTACTTGAGAATAATAAAAAACGGTAGTTTCTATTTAATTTACTTTTACAAAGATAAACCATAGTAAGGTTGACTAGTTTTCAATATGTGGCAACATGCCATTGGCCTCCTAAACTTTCTAAAAGTTTACTAGTCCCTAGATTGAGGTGGCGACATGCCATTTGTGCCTTATCAACTTCTAGAAC